TCCCCGCTTAACCATGAAAAACCAATGGGTGAGTCACATTCTCTCAGAAAAATATCAAAGGTGAAGCTCTTCTGAATAAATCTTTCCAAGAAAACCCTGTGATAGGGTCCCCATAAGTCAGAAACAACTTGAAGGCCAACAACAACAACAACAACAACAACAACAACAACAAGAAGAAGAAGAAGAAGCAGAGTACAGCACAGCTACTACAACCCAAGTTTGTGGTAGATACTGAAGAAATTACACAGGATGCTTTTGTAAAATTAATAAAAAGGAAACAAATTGACCGTTTTAGAAAAACTTGGGCTAGGAGATAGGCAAAAGTAGTTGACCTAAATTTTGTTAAAGGGCTCTTAAAAGATGACTACCATTTGTGGGTGTTGGCTACCACCACCAATTATGAGTTTATCTAGATCCTCATAAACATGCCTTCCCAGACACAAACAGCTAGGGAAGAGAAAAAATAATCTCTACAGACAGGAAGGCAAGATAAAAAAACAGATATAAAAGAAAGTAGCAGAGAACTGAAACAAAAGGACATCCATGCTTTCTAGAGACCCATGTCTCTCAGGAATCACTTTACAAACACCAATGCCTTTTTGTGTCCAACAGCTGAAATCACTAGCACAATTCAAACCATTATATTAGTCCTGAATGTGTAGACTGGAAAGCAGAATGCAGTACCTAGTTGCAGGTTAAACACGGTGAACTGGTTAGTAAAAACTTCTGAAGTTTTTGGATATGAATAAAAATGAAGCTTTTTTTAAAAAAAAGTACAACTAATAGAGATGTATGATCTTGTGTCCCCCTCCTTTCAACAGAAATTCAAGTTTTGCATAGACCCCCTTTTTTGGGAAAAAAATGCCAAATGCCAAGTATCAAATAGCAACATGAAATCTGTTTTGGAATTATCAAGACACTAAAATGAAAGAATTACTCAGTGTTAAATTACAAGGAGTACTATCTCCTAGTCCTACTATAGCAGCTTAACTCCTTGATCCCAAATGCATTTACCTGGACGTCTCTCAAATTCATCTACATGTAACTGTAATTATTCCAAAGTAGGTTTTACTGAGCTAACAAAACTTAGTTCCAAATTGACGTATTCAAAATTCCAGTATAAGGAATTGTTGCTGCTTTATAATTATCTGATTGTGGAGATGTAAGGGAAAACTGCAAAGGAAATTGCACCTGTAAATGAAAACTTGTTAGAAAAATACTTACACTGGAAGCAAACACTATATAGGATCTAAACCCAAAGTACATCTACATCGGCCACAAAATCTGGGGCTAGCCTGAAACACTGCTGTTTTGAACCAGCCTTGGTTTCTGCCATGGTGTTTAAATCAATGTGCTCCCAAACCTCATCAGTGGAGAAGCAGAATCCTTACTGTTTGGTTGGGCCACATTTGGTTTGACTCCACTGGACAGTCACCCTTAGCGGTAGCCATGGAGCTCCAGAGAGCTTCTTGTCATCATTTGACACCTTTGCCAATGTAAGCAAGGACACCCATGAGGCTCAGAGAGAGGAGGGGGGTTGCCCCTCCTTCCTCCACCCCTCCTCTTAGTCACATGGGCATCTTTGTACCAAGTAATACTCAGGAGCTCTCTAGTGCTCTGTGGCCACCACTACATTGAGAGAAAAAAATACAAACATGTCCCATCCTCTGTTTGCTGAACCTCAAAGCGCAGGAACAATGTGATGGAACTGATAGCTTCTGAATCAGAACTGGCCCAACGTTAAGCACTTGCACCCCATGTTGGGGCAAGATGGTCCCATGTGGCTGTAATGCTACAGAACAAATTCTTGGCCACTTTGGGGTATATGACCCAAGTAGATGTGCCCCTGGTCTTGGAGCAAAGACAAAAGCTTAGTGCATGACAGGCTTATTCCTGTTGCTTTATCCCTGTCCATATTTGCAATAGGAATCTGTGACTCCTTCCATAGTTATCCACACAATCTTCAAATGTCATGAACAGCTTTGTAGGACATCATCACATTCAAGAGGTGGTGTGTGTATTAAAGAGTATGCACCCCATTCAATTGAACAACTTTCAGCCTGTGTCCAATCTCCCCTTTTTGGGAAAAATCCTGGAATGTGTGGTGGACTTGCAACTTCAAGGGTTATTAGAATAAACTGATTATCTGGACCTGGCAAAGACTGGCTTTAGGCTAGGGCATGGAACTGAAACACCCTTGGTCACCTTAGTGGATGATCTACACCGGGAACTGGACAGAGGGGTTGTGTCCCTGTTGGTTCTCCTGGACCTCTCAGCGGCCTTCGATACTGTTGACCACGGTATCCTTCTGGGACACCTCACGGAAATAGGGCTTGGGGCCACTGTCTTGCAGTGGGTTTGATCCTTCCTGGGGGACTGTACCCAGAAGGTGTTGTTGGGGGACACCTGCTCGGTCCACAAGCTTTGTCTTGTGGGGTCCTGCAGGTCTCAATACTGTCCCCATGTTGTTTAACATCTAAATGAAACTGTTGGGAGAGATCATTCGGAGTTTTGGAGTTTGATGTCATCTATATGCAGATGACGTCGAACTCCATCACTCCTATTTAACTGCTACTAAGGAGGCTGTTCAGGTCCTGAACTGGTGCTTGGTAGCTGTGACGGTCTGAATGAGGGTGAACAAATTGAAATTGAATCCAGGCAAGATTGATGTACTCCTGGTCAGTTGAAAGGTCAAACAGGATATAGTGTTATAGCCTGTGTTGGATAGGGTTATGATCCATCAGAAGATGCAGGTTCGCAGCTTGGGATTCATCCCGGATTCATAGTTAAGCCTGGAACCCCAGGTCTCGGCGGTGGTAAGGGGTGCTTTTGCACAATTAAAACTTGTGTGCCATTTTGCCGTATCTTGGGAAGTCAGACTTGGCCACAGTGGTCCACATTCTTGTTACATCAAAGATAGATTACTGCAACATGCTCTACATGGAGTGACCTCTGAAGACTGTTCAGAAGCTTCAAGTGGTACAACGGATGGCAGCCAAATTTCTCACTGGGGCAGTGTACAGGAAGCACACAGCGCCCCCTGTTACGTCAGCTCCACTGGCTGCCAGTTTGATACCGAGCACAATTCAAAGTGCTGGCTTTAGCCTATAAAGCCCTAAACGGGTTCCGGCCCAGCTAACCAGTCCAAACATATCTTCCTCTATCCACCTTGGAGAGTAAGATCTTCTGGAGAGATCCTACTCTCAGTCCCACCACCTTTACAAGCGCAACTGGTGGGGAAGAGAGACAGGGTCTTTTCAGTGGTGGCCCTCGGCTATGGAACTCCCTCCCTATTGAAATTAGAGCAGCCCCCTCCCTCCTGACCTTCAGGAAGAAAGTAGAAAATGTGATTATGTCACCAAGCTTTTGAATAACAAGTTTTTAGTGCAATCTTCAGGAGGAGCTTGAAAACGTGGTTGTTCCAGTGTGCCTTCCCAGAATAAGGAAACTCCTAGCATTATGTCCCTATGCACTTTCTCAGAAAACCAAGATATCTGCACGCCCATCCCCCTCCAAACACTCTACCTGGTCATGCCCAGCACTTTTTAATTTTAATTATTACATTTGGCCCTGCCACTGATTTTAATTGCGTCATTGTGTGTGGTTAATGTTATTGCTTTGTTTTTGAATTATTGTTTGTTTGTTGTTGCTGTTGTTTTTACTATTGTATTTGGGCTCGGCCTCTTGTAAGCCACACCGAGTCCTTCGGGAGATGGTAGCGGGGTACAAATAAAGGTTTATTATTATTATTATTATTATTATAACAAGAGAATAAGGAACAGTGAACAGATCAATGGAATGGCTTCAGATTATGATTTTGGATGGTGTGATTTTAATAACTGGTTTTAAATTGCATTGCTTTAATGTTTGGTCTTAATGCAAATGTTTATTGTATTGCATGTTTACGTTTTGGCATCAAATTGCTCCCTAATTTGTGATGCCACTTTGAGTCCCCTTCAGGGTAGAGAAGGGCGGGATATAAATGAAGTAAATAAGTAAGTAAATAAATATAGCAGGCAAACTGTCCCAAAAAACACAGGAATTATACTCAACCCACCACAAAGCGTTTTTTCCTACTTGTATCTTTTAGAAACCAATGCAGGCCTGAGATCATCACATTTGGCACAGGTGGGGTGTCCCATTCGATTGTTTAAGCACCCCCCCCCCAAACATAGCATAATGACACAATGACACTTGAAATGGCAGATGTCTGTGAGAGAATTGATCACTCCCCACAGGCAACAGATCACACTCATAAAGTAACGCCGGATGAAAAATCTACTATTCTGATACCATCACACACAACAGATTATGCTTGTGATATGCTTCTGCAATTCAAAGGAATAGTCAGAACCCATTCAAAGACCACATGAATTGGCCACTAATAGCAGCATCATAGGATGGGATCCATTAGGTCCTGTAGAAAAATAGTGACAGGAACAGGAAAATGCTCCATAGAGGGCTGTACTGAGGGAGCTAAAGTGGAAAACCATAAAAAAAATTCCCTGTTCTTCCTTGGATTCAAGCTAAAAATACATAATTACCCAACATACTGGTCCAAAATCAGTATCTATTAGCTAAAGTGTTAATATATTTATGTACTTAAGTATTAAATGTAAACCAATATGTATAGTAACAATAACAATAACAATAATAAATGCATTGCTTGCCTCTCCTTGTATTAATATACCGTATATTCCGGCATATAAGACGACTGGGCGTATAAGACGACCCCCAACTTTTCCAGTTAAAATATAGAGTTAAGACGACTCCCATGCATAAGACTACACCCGTGTATAAGACGACCCCTGACTTTTGAGAAGATTTTCTTGGGTTAAAAAGTAGTCTTATACGCCAGAATATACTGTAATTGCATTTTAAAATACTTACATCTGACAAATTATGCAAATTTTTTAAAAAACTAAGAAAATTCAACTGCTGTGAAACAATTAACAATATGGCATGCCAACAGCACACTGGAATTTCTATTACATACATACTTGGACTGAACTTCCATTAGAACAGTGCAATATTCGGGTATACATAATTGTTCAATATATTCCAAGCCTTTGGATTCGTTGAAGTATTTTCTTTGAACTGTAGTAAACGTCACATTCTGGAGAGGAAAAAACCCAAAAGCAGTATTGTGTTTTTCCATTGTTTTACAATTATTACAATGGACTATCCCCACCCCCACTCCCAACCACCAGTGAATTAAAGCTGAAATTCTAGTAGAAATCAAGTGTGAACATTTATATTTTGAAATGGATTTTAGAGGTACATATGTATAATGGGTTCACCAAAGTTATTTTTAACATTTCACCTTGTCCAGATCCATGCAGAAGAACTAGAAATTGCTGCTAAACTCCACTGAGGAAACAATGTAGGAACCCTGCTTTAGATATATGAAGTTTCCTCTGCATAACTCTCCGACAAATGTACCCCTTTTTGTTTCAAAAATTTGCAGAACAGCCCACAAAATATTCACATGGCATCCTTCTTGGAGGAACTGGGTTTTGATTACAATAAGAATGCTTGACAAAATACACATGTGCATTTAAAAAATGTTTACCTTGAAATTTTCTGTTATCAAGCTGAACAATTTTGTTGCATTTCCTGTATCACATGCAGTATTTGACATTATTATTTCTAAGGGTGTTAAAATTCTGAGTTTGGTGATAACCTAGGAAAAAAGAAACATGATTAGTAAAGACCTTTATTTGATAGTTTTAAAAGCACATCAAGTTGTCATTGTCATCATTAAGGTCAATTTATGTAATGCTATCAATATGCCTTTCTTGTCAGAGAGATAACCAGACATCTCTGCCTCTAAGGGTTTAACAGTCTAATAACTGGCGCAAGGGAGCTATATATGATCCAGACATACTTGCACAGCCCCTATGTAGATGTGTGGTGTGACACAGCAGGCAGCTGCCATGTCCTTCCCATTGAGTCCTCCCTTTTCTGTGCAGAATTGCAAGCTCTTAGCACTTAGCCATTCAGCTTGACTGCAACTGCCATATCTATTCTTCCCCCCCCCCCCCCCCCACACACACACACACAAAACACCTCACACTTGCCCCATATTCAGAGTTGGCTATTGTCACGATACATAGGAACTTCTGGGAAGTATTCAAAGTGTTTAGATCTTAATCCAACTTTTCTTGGCATGAAACAAAGTTGGGGAAAACACTGGAATTTGCATGCAACTCCAGAGTATCAACAGATTTTGGCCTGATTGGTTGTCCACATACCAACTGCTGCTATTATCATCCCTGCCCTGAGCAGCACAGAGAAAAGGATGAGTGTCCTTGTATTGCTGCCACCACTCTTCACCAACCATAAAGCTCTGTGTTAACAAGGGGATGATACAGATAGACACCATCACAGCATTACGGAGGATTTGGCCTGGTGCACCACCAGTGTGCACCATGATGCACCAGACTATATAGACATCAGGCTCTCTTTCAGCCTAGCCTACCTCACAGACTTGTTACTGGGATAATAATGAAGAGAAAACAAGTACCATATATGCTACTTTGGGCTTCTTGTGACTATCTGGTAGTTCTGGAAATTGTCTTTATTTATTTATTGATATTAGATTCTGTCTTTCTCCCAAGATGAGATGTCAGAGCATTATTTTGTAGTATTGTAGACCTTGTAATGGCTGTTTCTTCTCCCACATCTAGTTACATCCAAAATATACTGGATTTATGCTCCGGTTTGTTACTGGTCATAGCACTATTTCAAGCTGCATTTATCTTTTGAATTAAGCTTTTCTCTCCCTTGAAGTATGATTTAGCTGTGTTTTAGGTATGACTTCCCACTCAACCCCAACCCGGGACATAACATCTTCTCCTTGTATGCTTCTCCCTGAGTACCCACAATCCAGTATCTCAATCTGTTTTTTGAATTATATAGTCACAATGCTATAACTCTAAAAAGAAGAGGAAAAAATCCATCTGATAACCAAAAATGTAAGAAGAAAAGAAAAGCCAGTAGAAAATCCACAGGAAAAGTCACATGCCCTATACAACTTGTCATTAGTGAAACCACCCAAAAATACAGTTGGATAAAAACAGTAAATTGACACAAAACTCAAACATTCACTTCACTGTGCATTAGAAACTCCAGGGAAAAGGAAAACTACAATTTGTAGTGGGAATAAAAAACTGTGGTAAATACCAGAAATGTTTAAAAAAAACACAAGAGAATGAAGAATACTATATGGGTATCACAAGAAGAAAAATCCAGTAAGTACATCTTTAACTCTTATCAAATCTCAAGGCCTTTGTCAATCCAGAGAAATCCTTCTATTCATTAGAAAAGGATATCCATGAACAAATAGATAAATATGAGAAAAATGGGATGTCGGTTGATGAGTGTGGAAGACTTCCAAATTGACTGCCCTAAGATTCTGGGGACATGACTGATTTGCTTTCTAACGCACTTCTTTGCCTTGGTTTATGGTTATGAGCCCCCAATTTGTTTCTGGGTTACGGTGACTCAAAGAGAGATATTATCACAGGGTTTTCTGGGCCCAGGCCCGTAGCCAGGATTTTGTTTCGGGGGGGGGGGGGGGGGGCTGAGTCTGAGTGAAAGAGGGACTACCCTAGCAAACCTTTTGTATCGTTACCCCAATACCCCCATTCATATGGGATATATTGAGTATGGTGATCAGATCATGATATGAATAAACATAACAGTTTAAATAATGTACCAGTAAGGCCTTCTCACACACCACCATCAGAATTTCGGGGGGGGGGGGGTGCCGCCCCCCCCCCCCCCCGGCTACATGCCTGCCCAAGGTCACCCATTGGGTTTTCGGGTTGAGACGGCTCAAACAACTACACCACACTTGCTCTCCTTCTCCCACTATGATCCCCCTCTTTCCCAAATGAGCTAACAACTGGAAATCCTAAAACACTTTTGTGATACTGAAAAACAGGCAACCATAAAATACTAATGCAATTTACTGGAATTAAGGCTACAATTTTGTGTATATACACTTCCTTTTTTCTTCTGTGAAAGGGAACCCTATGAAAATCCTTGGGTCACCAGAAGTTCATGGGGACTGCAAGGCACGCATTTTCTTTATTTTAAAAGGACTTTAAAGAAGGAATAAAGAAAGAAAGAAAAACCGTCTAATTTACCTTGGCATAGGTTGTATTGTCTGCAAACTGAGATAGCACAACTTCAGGATTTTTTAAGTCAATACTTGCCATTCCCACTTCACCTCTAGCAAGGCCTCGTCCTTCTATTACAGCTACAATAACTGATGCAACACTATGGGTAGAGACTGCTGAAGACGATGTAACTGTAAAACAGTCAGATATATTTACTGTTTGATTCAAATTCTACAAGAATTAATATTGACTGTTCATGAACATAATGACACATTCTGATATCTAGGCAATGCATTGTCCCAGTATATCTAACATTGAAATTTTTTAAAAAATCACTGATCGAGTTGTTGAAGGCTTTCATGGTCGGAATCACTGGGTTACTGTGGGTTTTCTGGGCTGTACAGCCATGTTCCAGAAGCATTCTCTCCTGACGTTTCACCCACATCTATGGCAAGCATCTTCAGAGATTGCCTGCCATAGATATGAGCAAAACGTCAGGAGAGAATGCTTCTGGAACATGGCCATTCAGCCTGGAAAACTCACAGAAACCTACCAATCAAGTTATTTTCATATGGAAAGGTGTACAACATTTATAAATATGAAAATATTTCAATTATGTAAAACCAACTGTTCTGAACAAAAATGAATGCAAGTAAAACATTTAAGCAAGGATATATGTTGTTTAATCCATCATCATCATCATCATCATCATCATCATCATCATCATCATCATTACGACTACTTTTTAGGAGCAACATCCATGCCAAGCTCTTCCAGTATAAAATAATGTTTTGCATATACACAGCTACATAGTATGTGGATGTTAATGGAGAATCTCTAAATTGTCAAAAGACCAGTCTGTTGTTGTCAAAATCATTGTGACATTAGAGAATTCATCAATCTTTTACATCAAATATTAATATAGAAAGTAATATCTTCATCAATCATTTTTATTTTTCATTCAAGTTCACTATTCTAGCAGTCAACATGTTCATCAATGTCAACTTTCCCTTTTATTCATCCTTCTAAAGCTTGCATTAAAACAAAATAAAATGCTTAAAACTTTACCATTACAATATTACTGTGTTTTCACATGTAGAGTACTTGGATTGACGGTCCCATTGCCCAAGTAGCCCTTGTGCACCATCCCACATGCACATTGTGAAACCAGGAACTCTTTTATGCCAGATGTAATAATGGCACAAGTAAACTAGACAAATGTATTAAAGACAAGGGATTAAATTTTCTAAAGGCACCAGATCCCATCTGATCTTGGAAGACAAACAGGCTTAACTCTGGCTAGTACTTGGCTGGGAACCTGCCAAGGAATGCCAGGTACTATAAGCTGTATTTCAGAACAAGGAAGTGGTAAAACCATTTCTGATTATTCCTTGACTAAGAAAATCCTATGAAATGTGAAGCTGTACTAACCAAGAGTATTCATTCTGGGATAACAGGAGGACCGATCCACAACAACTGGGTTTATCTCCCCATGTGCAAATTGGACTGATATGAGCTCACATTCTTTTTCCATCTGGCTCCAGTAGCCCTTTTCCTTCTCCTACAGTTCAATAATCTATCTGTTCCATACTAACTTAACAACACAACAAAGCTGTCTAGAAAATAATTACTTCTTCTTGGCTCCCTAATAACATCTAGAAGAACTTCCTCTTAATCTCTTTTTTTCTTCCCAAGAGAGGGATGGATTTGTTCTCCTGCCATCCCAGAATGAATATTATTGGTACAACCTCTAATTCTCGGAATTACCCAATCCTCCTCCCCAGTGGACCATTAATTGACTACATAAGAGCCTCATTGTGTGTGTGTATGTGTGATGCGGGGGGGGGGGGTCGGGACAGATGGGGGACTGAGGAATTACCGATGGAGGGAAGACAGAGAGAAGCCACCAGAAAGGAGAACCCAGCATGAACAATGGCCCTTCCTCCTGCCAAAGTGAGGAAAGCCCATAGCCCCCTTGTGCTACTTCAAGCTTTGCTTTCTGGCTCACCAAAGCCCTGCCCCTGCCCCTGCAGTGAGGAAATTGGTTTGGGCTTCTGAGGTCTCCTCCTCTCCTCACATTCCCAAGCAAGAAAAGGAAGAGGAGGAAGTGGAAAGAGAGATGGGGGGAAAGAACGGAGGGGGAGGGAGGAGGAGGAGAAGAGGAAGAGGAGGAGGAAGAAGAGGAGTTCACCATGTTCCCATAAACTTTTCATTCATAAGTAACAATGTGCATACATGAAAAGGAACAATAGGTCAGACATACCATTCTTTCTCACTAAGTTTTATTGCAATGCTTATGGTGTTGCTGCAACCCAACACTGAATTGCTATGCTTCTAGAGCCCTATTTCACAATCCTCCCAAGGCTGAATCTACTTAAAAAAACATTCAGCTAGACAGATGACAAGAAGGAAAAGTGGAGTGGGGAGCCATTGTAAAAACAAAATCACTGACAGATAATAAGTTACAAATTATTTTGTTTAATATTATCCATTCCATGAAATCTGGTAGACTTGCAGCGGTATCAACGTTGTGGTCCACTTCATCTCCCATAATTCCTGGCCATTGAACAAGCTGTCTTGGATTTGGGAGTTGGAGGCCCAAACATCTGGAGAGGTACAAGTTCCTCTGTGCTAGAGTGATGCCACACTAATAAAAATGTGCAAAATTTGCTGCAACTACATCTCCTGTAAATTAATGACAAACAGTTGGCCATCTTACTTTGAAGGAAAGGCCTTTGCTCTTTTGCCCAATAGACACTGTGTTTGCATCTGTGGGAGAAAGAATGCTGGACTTATTTTGGGGGACTAATGGGAAGAGGAGGGGAACAGAAACACTTTGGTAAGGAAGTGTTCAAATACTATAGCAGAGATAGATGAGATTTACTGGTGCTTTATTTCAGAATAAATTAATCCATGCATAAAGAAAGTTATTAATGGGAAGATTTGGAAGTAAAGTAACATAAGCATTACTTCAAGTAAATATGTTTAATTATAAGGTAATATGTAATTTGAACAAATTATACCAGAAACAACACAAACATTTCATATCAAACTGCTTACAAATTATATACTTAAAAGGGTTACAAATCCTGTCTTAGACACACTGGCTTGAATAGCAAGGACTGAGATTTTCTACCAACCCACTGCAGCTCAAACATTAGTATCAACAATTGGAAGAGTAGTATGGGATGTAACACAGAAGATTGCATATGGAGTATAAACACTATGGCTTTTTCTTTCCTTGTGTATAAACACTATGGCTTTTTCTTTCCTTGTGTAGGGAGCAATGCCTTTTGGCTCATGTTAGACATATTTTGGTACTAGCCTTTTTAAACACAATACAGTGGCGAAAGCATTCAAATCAGAACACTTCTTTTGCTCATACTGCCAATATTTCATTTACTATTTTATTTCCTTCAAACTTCTTAGCCCGACAAAAAATATTTTAAATTATAATATTCTGAAGTAGCTACTTAGTATGATGACTATAGTCAGTTTTTCTAGCTGTTCAGATTTCAAACCAAAAATTCTAATATAATTTCACACTGCCATCTACTGTCCATTTGAACAACTTATAATGTTAAAGGCAAGAGAGTGTCAGTAAAACATCAAATAGATCTTTAATAACTCTGGTCTCATACTTATAAGCTGTCTCCAAGTTTATATGTGTCTGTCTCAAGGAAAGTTTACATAGCCTAAAAAACCCAAACATGCTACACACCTTATTTACTCAGCTAAATTACATAGCCAAAACTGAGGTGTATATTAGATTCAATTGAGCATTAGAATCACGCACATAAACTCATGTGAAAAGGCCCGGAGGAACCCGGAACCCCACAGGCCGGACAGAGAGGTGGGGGACACAAAGAGGCTGTTTGTGGTGGTAGTTTCAGGGCTCCGTTGAGCTCAGAGGAGGAGGAGGGTCCAACTGGTGACCTAGTCATAGCCGCAGATCCTGCCTTCTGGGCCACCCTCAGGGTCTCTCCCCTGCCCCCTCCCCCAGGCTCAGTCCCATGCAGTTGAGGGCAAATCCATTTTAAGTAACGTGCACATTCAACATGAGTTAAACCTTACATTTAATGGTGCATTATACTCAAGTAAATATACTTTATTTTTCTCATTTTTTAAAAAGCTTTCATAATAGAAATCTGTAGGTTCAATAGCCTTTTCCCCCAGTCATTCCACTGCACTGTTCCCTCTTACCTAAACAGGGACTCTACCTATCAAAACCAGGGGTGGGAACTTCTGAACAACCAAATATCATTGTCCATTAGCTAAGCTAACTGGTAGAATGAAGGATGAATTCCAATAACTTCAGATAATTTACTACTTCTCCATCCTTGCACTAAGAAGTTAGCATTCCATGCACAATTGGTAAACTCAAATTTCATTGGACTATTCTCCCTTAAAGTCTTTTCTCAAAAGATTATGTGAGTGGTTGTTAGTTTTGTTTTGTTTTTTTACTTCTGCAAATTCTAGGATTACTCAAGGTACTGTGTGTGGGTGTGGTAAACTTCTTATAAAACAAGCACATACTCTGGAAACAAAAGCAGAAGCATGCAGCCCTTCAACTGTTATTGCACTGAAGCTCCCATCAGCCTTGATCACCATAGGCAATGAGGAAGACTGCTAGGAGTTGTAGTGCAACAACTTCTGGACAGCCACAACATTCCCACTCCTGGTTTAAAGACACAAGATTGATATCTAGTTATGATAGCTGAATGTTCAGCTATAACATATATTCATTTATTCAAAACTGATCAAATTTAGGAATTACAGTGACAATGCAACAAAATACAAAAGTAAACACTGATATGCTCTTCTGAGAGTTCCCTCTAATTTAGCATCTCAGCATGAAAACTGCTGTAGTCACCCATCAGGTACCCCAATTTGAGATGCATGGGAATAGTGTTTCCCAATGTTGTCCAAACATTCAATCCAATGGAAAGAAATTATTTTTGCTGCCCTAAATGTGAGTTTATTGTATAATACATTGACTGAAGAAATACATGGTGCACCTCTAAACCTCTAGTAGACTTGAAGATAAATTTACTCTTTTTCATACTTCGTAACAGATGGAAAAGTAACCCAGTCTTTTTGCATAACCATAATTTGTGTGTGTGTACATACACAAATGATAAAAACAACTATGAGTTTGCATCCAAATGTAGTTATACTCAAAACATAGATCCATTAAAATAGATTTAAATAAGCTATATTTTAAATCAGACGTATTTTAAATTCCATTGATTTCAATGGGTCTATCCTAACCACAATTTAGAGATCTGAAATGCAAGGTCCACATATTTTTCTACAAAACACTAATCTTTACATTTTTAAAATAACAGCTGTTAAGTCAACTGTACCTGAATATCCCATAAAAGGAGTCCAGTTTCTATATCCTGCTCTAGCCGATGATAGCGGTGTTTTCCGGGCCTGAGGAATATTTTGTGCTCTGGTTGAAGAAGGGCTTGTCAAATTCACTGTGCTAATGTTTTCTGCATAGGAACTCTTGTCTCCAAAGTATGAATCTAATAAATGTAACAAAACAAACAAATTTGTCATAAAGTGACAGGTATATACAGTGCTAGCATGTTTTGTTTCCAGAAGCACAGAACTAAGGTAACTAGAAATAACAATACTGATTATATTTAATCCCGTGGATTAAATCCAGATTGAATGAATGTTTTAGAGATGAAATTTAGCAGGTAAAAGGGAAAGGGTGCACACTTATGAAGTCCTGTTTAGTTTCAGCGGTGTAAGCTTTCTACACCTGTTCTTTTATACTCTTCATTGTATTATTACAACCATTCTTTATTTTACCCCTCTTGTACCAGAGGAGGGGGTTTGCACATTTCCTTTGATTCTAGTTAAGAAATTAAGTGAATGAAGAGGGAAGGTAGGTCTATGTCTCTGCAGGCAAAGTGCCCTCTTTGGTCCTTTCTACACAGCAGTATAAAATCCACATTGAACTGGATTATATATCAGTATGAATTCAGGTAATCCTGTTCAAACAGATATTGTGGATTATCCGCCTTGATATTCTGAGTTATATGGCTGTGTGAAAGGGCCCTTTGCTTGCTGAGAGAAAAATCTGTAGTATCCTATGGCTATCCCAAGGAAGTCAATGCTATACTTATTCCCAAGATTTCAATAGGATTAAAGTATGACAAGTGGATCTAACTTAGTAAAAACTTTCCAAATATTTTATTCTTTGTTCATATATTGCTACAACTTTCAGGATCCCATAGCATTGAGCCATGGCAGCTAAAGTAGTGTAAAACTGCATTAATTCTACAATGTAGATGTAATTTGTAGATGTAACAAATGGTTATTTGTTAAATACAATTTTGCTTTGTCATGTCTAATTTGTTGTAATGTTTTCATTATTATTTGATGTGGATGTTCGATTTATGGTTGCTTTGGTTATTTCGGTTTTGAATTGCACTTTGCAGCTTTGAATATTTGCCATTGTTTGTGGTGAATCGCCCTGAGTTCCCATGAGGAGAGGAAAGGATAGAAATAAAGTTTTATTATTACCCTAATGATTCTGGCCCAGCTTACCTGTCCTAACGTATGTCCCCCATGAACTACCCCACCAGATCTTTTGCTCTCGGTTCCAACCTCTTCGCAGATGTGGTTGGTGGAAACGAAAGACAGGGCCTTCTCAGTAGTGGCCCCTCGGCTGTGGAACTCCCTTCCCAGCAACATTAGATCAGCTTCCTCCCTTCCTCCAGAAAATTAAAACCTGGCTATGGAACCAAGCATTAGGAGAGTAGTTACAGTACAATATGCAGTTATGAGGTGAATGAAATATGATTGGATCGGCTTTGGACTACGATTCTGTGACCATGTGCTATGTTTTTAACAGTTTATTTAAAATTTATTTCTGTTACTGTTTTGATTTTACCCCACTATGGATTTTGTAATTTTTGTTCGTTTTTATGCAGCACTGAATTATTGCTAATTGGAAGCCACTCTGAGTCCCCACAAGGGTTGTGATAAAAGTGGGGAAAAAAACCCCACAGTAAATAATAATAATAATTAGATACACCCTGAGAGAACAGGATCTGAAATTGTGAATTTGGGCAAGTCACACTCTCTCAACCTCAGGGGAACACAGTGTCAAACCTTTTCTGGAGAAATCCTGCCAGGAAAACCCCATGATAGGTATGCTTTAGGGTCTCCATAACTCAGAAGTAACTTTGGGTGCATCTGCAATGCAGAAGTAATAGTCTACCACAGGCATGGGCAAATTTGGGCCCTCCAGGTGTTTTGGACTACAACTCCCACCATTCCAAACAGCCTCAGGTCCCTTCCTGGCTTAAGTGGCTGACGGGGAAAAGGAAAGGGCCTGAGACTGTCAGGAATGGTGGGAGTTCAAGTCCAAAACACCTGGAAGGCTCAAGTTTGCCCATGCCTGTTCTAGCACTACTTGAGCTGCCCTGGCTCCATGGGAGGTGTAGTTTGATGAAGCCCAAGCCCTCTGGCAGAGAAGGGACAAGGCCTTGTAGCACAACTCCCAGGACCCTCTAGCATTGAGCCATGCCAGTCCTGGTGGTGTCAAACTGCATTCCTTCTGCAATCTAATGCGCCCTTAAAGGCACAAGACGCTATTAAAGAGTTGAGGCGGCCTTCCTTCCTTTCTAAGCAGGACCCACCTTCCAACCCTCTTGGGAGGAAGAAGGAATCCAGGCCGCTGCTGGTCTCTTTGCTTTTCTGTGGAAGGGGAGCCCCATCGTTGGAGGAAGACGTAGGGCCGGCACTAGCCGGTGTCTCTTGGAGGCCGAACTGGTAGCGGGGGCGCCGCTCCGCCGAAGGAGAGGACGAGCAGCGCCCTGAGTAGGAGGTGGAGCCCCCCGAACCGCCCTCCATTATCAAGGCCGCGTCCGACTCCCCTCACAACATCACTGCGAGGCGCTGGAAGAGGGCAACGGGATGTACCATTCCCAAATACAGGGGTCGCATTTGTAATTTCATTTTTAAAGTCGAAACAAGCCCTTGAATGATACATACACTGACTCGCTGTTGGTTTTCTCTCTTCATAGAGAGGACTCCCCAATTCATTCCCTTAAGACATGCGTTTGGGGAAGCAACCCAAAATAAAACACCCCTATATAATCAAGTGGTACAGTCCACACCCTGCTTGGGTAGCCGGCCTACCCGCCGCGCGCGAGGTTCAAAAGGAGGGGCTCGTCTTGTGCGTCGAGACAGTTGCAGCTGAGGGGAAATTCAAGAAGCAGGGCTCTGGCTGAGTGATGCCTCCATTAACATTTCAAAGGCCGATGTTGCTATAAGCCATTGCACTGGAGCATGCAGCATAGAACATGGCAACCGTGAAAAGCATGCCAGGGCTTTGTATCCAGTCCTCATTCATTCTGGTGTACTGGCTGTGACGTCAAATCTATAATTCTGGCTCTGGCATCAATTCTAGCATTTGAAGGGAAAGCTGCCATTTATGTACACTCTGCCGGTTTCCTATCATAGAATCAGAGTTGGAAGAGACCTCGTGGGCCATCCAGTCCAACCCCCTGACAAGAAGCAGGAAAATCGCATTCAAAGCACCCCGACAGATGACCACCCAAAGGAGCCTCCACCACAGAGTTCCACTGGTGAACAGCTCTCAGGAAGTTCTTAATGTTCAGGTGGAATCTCCTTTGCTGTAGTTTGAAGCCATTCTTCTGCATCCTAGTCTCCAGGGCAGCAGAAAACAAGTTTGCTCCTTCCTCTCTATGACTTCCCCTCACATCTGTATATACGGTCATCATGTCTCAGCCTTCTCTTCCTCTTTAAGCCGCTCCTCATAGGGCGTGTTCTCATGTCAAACTCTAGTTTTCCATTAGAATTTATTCTATGTCATAACCGTAGCCAGATTTCTTTAATTATTGCAGGTTTATATTTCACATTTCAACCATCATTTTATGGGTGACATAAATGGACACGTCCCAGGGGGAATTAACTCAAGGCTGAAAAGATTAAATTAGGAACTTCAACATACTTTTAGATTAGATGCACTAGTAAATTAGAATAGCAAGAAGCTTCCTTAGCTGCTTTCTATTCCAATTTTTTTTATTGTTGCTGATAAAGAGCCCCATGGCTAGCATGTGGATTACCTCCCTCTTCAGACAAAATTGGAAATTTACTATAATAAAAAAAAAACTTGATCTGAAGTTCAATGATCAAATTTCAACAGCAACATCCAGACAATTAATTACCTTGGACTGTATTATGTGTATCTTCTAGTTCAATAAACTGAATAGCATTGTGCAAGTATGTATATTTGTCTCCATATGCAACTACAATCGCACCCAACAGTCTAAGAATCTTTTCTGCTTGCTTGTTTCTAAGCATTAAAAGTTTGCAAAAGCAAACTTAAGACATAGACTGAAAATCTGAATGAAGTCACTAGTGTTTTGTTTAGAAAGTACCTACAATCCCAGATCCAGCATGCAATAACCTTAAACGTAACTAGAAACAATTCAAATGTGTCATTTCTCAAGATTCCTAGCTAAAGAACAATTATGCAACTTCTTACACTTCCAATAGACTATAGACAATGTAAGCAGTTAGAATTTCCTTTAATTTGTTTCAAGCAGAATCCCATTTCATATTTAAGATCTCAGCCAAGTTATAAATGCACAACTGTGACAAATGTGAAATGGAGGCACTTCTAGTGTTCCAGCAAAAGCAGATAATTCATCCTATAGAAAACAACTTTGTTCTAAAGCTTTATTTTGGACTATGTACAGCTAGTGTTAAGTGCTACTAAAATTGGGATTCATCACAGTTACAATAAATACCTTAAAGGAACAAACAGGAAGCAAGGCCATTAGTTTAAATAAAGAGACACCAATAATACAATTATAACCTTCATTAAAGTATGCCAGTAGTACCATTAAATTTCTGCTTTCATGTAGTACAAGAAAATGTGATTGAAATTGGATAAAAAACTATAGCAGATCTTACACAGGAACTCAAGTGCATAAAGTGTCACTGGCACAAGCAAGTAATTTTCTCTCAATACAAACAGTGTTGAGGACAATTCATTGCTCAGTAAATGCTATGACCAAGAAGAGCAAATGATTGTGTCATAAATAGAAAGTCACAATTCAAGTATTCATCTACTTGTGCCTAATACAGTGTTCTGATGGAACATGACTGGAACCTAGCCAAGAGGCAGACATATTTTTAAAGACAATTTAAACGTGTATGTACATCTATTATTGAAAATCTCAAGCACATGTAACAATGTTTATTTACTTTGGATACAGTCCACATATAAAATCATAGCGCTTACAGTAAAGTGGTGATTTATCATGTAAACACATTTAGAAATGTCTTCTGATGGAAAAATTGAAAGCAGCCATTACAGGAACGTTGTACGTTACAGGAACGTTGTACACCTAGCTCACAAGTTCTGGTTGTACATTTACTCTTCGAAGGATCTCCTCGGGCATACAAAACACAGGATTTACTGGCTTAATTTGTTCTTCTCCGAGTAATGATAGTCCAGCAATTCCAAACAAGGTGTGAAATGGATCCACCTAAAACACATAAAAGCATACATTAAAAACATTGGCAGTGGATTCACATGTAATTATATTTTTAAATGATTAATGGATATTATAGATTTCTGGGAATTCTAATTTAGCAGTGGCCCCCAACAGAGATTTTACTTGATACTTTTTCAGAATCCAACCGAACAGACATCGAAGCCACAGAAAAAAACAAAACAGATTAGTCAAGAGACAACACATAAACCAGTTACAGAAACATCTAAAAAGTTTTATTTCACAGAGCTGACAAATATTTAAAGATATGCAAGTAGGCTAGATGGCAGTAGAAGAACATATCTAACTTTGGCAAGATGCTATAGCCAGAATTGAGAGAAAGCCATGAATGGTTTTTACGATGGAGTCATCAGTTTTCCCTCCAGTGGCAAGCCCATGAATATTAATTCTTTAACATTTAAATGTAGTGAAACGTCTTCAAAATACTGACAGAAGGAAAAAGGCAAAATGACTCAGTCCTTTGGATTTTGAACTGTTTCAGTTTCTGAATGTATTTTACTAGCTATATCCGTTTGTTTCTACATAGATTCCTGAACCAATTATACATGCATTTGGGTACCACCTGGTCCTAGAACTGGTCAGCTTTGGTGACAAAATCAAGAGGTTCACTTCAGGTCATAATTTAGAGGGAAAACTACCTCTATGGGAAGATAACTATCCTTAAGGTAGATAGCTTACCATATCGCCTGGCCTGTCAGCAAATCCTCCAGTCTCCTCATCCTGACAAGCCAAAATAAAGCTGCATAACTTCTCTCTGTCAATCCAATGCAACCTGCCAATTATCTTCAATGATGCCAGCACCCACCAGGAATAGCATACATCCGGCAACTGACAAAATTATGGAAATATGTCAGGGCATTGCAAGAGCAAAGGAAAACGTTTCATCAGAAACTAGTACTAATTGCAAATATATGTTAGCATTATGTTTATTTTATTAATTTCTTCCCCATATTCTTAACTACATTTACATTAACAAACTCTGTGAAACATCATACGTGAAACATATCAATGGACTTAAGTTTATAACATCTAGTTATATGGGCTGTCACAATGGACTAAATATTTACATTTAAACCAATTTTAAATTAAGATCCTGTCATATCCCTGAAGTGAAAAAAAACTTTTAAATTTAATCAATGGATGTAACTATGTACTCTGAAGAACTGCTGTAAAATGCTTTTTTAGTGTTTCCCTTCCTATCAACTTGCACTGAGCAATTACTTTCCATACTGCTCTCTGTACTCGTACATCAACACAAGCTGGATCTACTACTTAGAAGGTTTTCAACATTATGACAGGATATCCCGCTCTGAATCTCATAATTCACATGAATTCTTTTTTGTTTTGTAGCTATTAAATTTTGGCTAAATACTGAGATGTGAGCAATGTCAAGAGAAAAATGTTTTTGTAGATTATGACTACAGTTGAACAAGTTGAATGAAATTTAGGTAACTCATGAGCACAGTTACATGCAACAATGTTGCAAAAGATCAGAAAAAAACCTAACAGTTCCTCCCCATTTTTGGAAAGCCTCTAGGGAAGTTACAGGTAGCTTGAGAATGGAAACACATAATAACCCCTCTGTCTAGAAATTTTGCTAGGAGGAAACTTTGTGTTCGTTAAAATGATGTCTGGATTTCATCTGAATTACTACACTGTTTACCAAATCTGCTTCTGGCATAATTTCCTTGTCCACCCACTTCCCAGCTCCATACTTTAAAAATACAAAAAGAAGCTCCATACCTTCTCTGGCCTTCCATTTAGCCCTCCAGATGGTAACTGACGTTCACAAAGCCACCAGCCTAGTAGGTCAGCATTAATTTGATGCAGCTGGCCAGTTATGGCCAGAAATCCTGTGCAACAATAGATCTAAAATTACAGATATAAAGTTGTCTATTTATCAATATAACTGTTCAGGTAAAACAAAGGAAGATTATAGAAAAGGATAACAAGGACGTAATGAAAGCTTTAAGTAACAAATATGCATTTTCATTGATATCAGAAAAACCTAATTTTGCACAGGAGTCTTGGTGTGGTGCTGTACCAGATCCAATTTTGACTATGATGAGTTTTCCACGTCCCTAGGCAACTTTTTCACTAGTCAATAAACACATTCTGTTTCATCCATTTCCCAAGCTAAAGCATTCTACTAAAATACTGGGCCTGCCAAAATATTTCCATTTAATCATAGTTGGTCTTTTATTTGTATTAACGATAACAGCAAGAAAAAAAATGTAGAACTGAACTTAGCAAGTAGTTTTATTTGTACACCCTGGTTTTAGATTCCAGTTCCTAGCTTCCCCGTCCAAACTGATATTAATATTTAGCAACATGGTAAACAAAACATCTGGTTTCCCATGAAAGTGCTACACTCTGTCTTATTTCTAAGTATATTTGGAAGAAAGGTTGCTTGCTTATTATACACGGTTCTAATGGAACTACACATTTCCAGTCTGACACTCATACCATCAAATGCACTCTTTGGGAAACATCCCAAAGTGAGTTTTCATGTGGCATGGAAGAATTTGGTGGGAAAAGAGTTAAGTTGGACAGGTGCTCAAATCCCTGGACAATGCTGGATTCTGCCCATTTTTATGGAGAACTGGGATTTTAAGGACATGACTGAAATTTGTGGAGATTAAAAATATTTGTTTTTTAAGAAGTCAAAACTCAATTTGAAAAGCTTAGTATGTTAGTATCCACAAACACTTCTAAGAATATGTTGAAAACTTTATTTGAAATGATGCACTACATACCTGTCCTGCATGAGATTCAGATCCTGGTCTACAACCAAACCCTCCATCAAAGTTCATACAAGACAATACAAATGATACTGCTTTGTCCACATCAATGGCATCCAGTTTACCCTGAAAAGCGGAAAACTTTACAATTACCTTTCTCCGTCATAATTCAATGAAGAATCAATCCCAAACATAGTAGTAAATGTTCAGCTTAACTTTAAAGTATCTTTTATTTTAAAAAGTTTATGAAATTGAGTCTATACATTTTCCTCTTTGGTGCATGACAGATAGCTTCTGCTCATTTCACGACTCCTTTCTAAATATGGAATTAATTTGAAATACAGCATGGGAAAGTTTTTCTCCACCATACATTGGAAGATAAGCAGAAAATGCAACTAATAGGCATGTTTATGATGCAGTTTTCTGTATTTAATCAGTGTTTTCCCTATCTAATTTGAACTCTTTATCCACAACAATTTAAGTAGCTTTTTCAAAATCAGATTGCTAGGGAACAAAGGACTTACCAGAAGGGCTAGCGTTGCAACTGCACAAAAAGAAAACCTTGTATCTACTTCTCCTGCGAAAAGAAATAAGAAATAAACATTATGGTATGGTTTTTCCTTACTCTCAACACTATTTATATACTCAAGAAGTGAAGAATTGACATATTCTGATAGAATTAAGGACATTAAAATTTCTCAAAATTGCACCTATATGGAAACTAACAGCAGCCATACAGAATATTGCTCTCAAATCTCAGAGTAATTCTAGAGCTAAAATTGTGATATAACATCAACCTTAGTCAGATAAATATTAACAACTCATCATAGATCTGAGAAGTTTGCAATTCATACAAATATGTACATAGGAATAATTATGACCCCTCTTGTAACATGTACATGTTTATTAAACAAGGAAAGCCACTAAGCAAGCTCACAGAATATATCCTTTTTAATTCTTGATCTCAGAAAATATAAACTGAATGATAAACATTTTTAAAGTTACCCCATTTATCTCCAGCAAATGATCCATCCTCCTTTTGCAGCTTCTTCACATATTCTACAATTTTATTTACATCAACAACCTGAAGACTGTCATAAAGAGTTAGAATCTGCAAAATAAAATCAGGTAAATTAATTTTTCTAGAACCAACATATCCCACAGAAGTTGCCTAGATAATTCCCAAACAGTTTCAAATATCAACTACATATACTGTATTGGATAGTCCTAACTGAAGGAGAATTTATTTATTTAGAACATTTGTATCCTGTCCTATTTTCAACCTACGAAGAGGGACTAAGGGCGGCTTCCAACGATATAAAAACACCAATAAAATACACAATTACATGGTAATAAATACACATTTAAAAATAGTTTGCCAAGATTAAATCATGCTGCAAATCAGTCCAAAAAATGCGGTCCATGCAATCTCATCTAAGCCAATAAAAATCGAGAACTGTTGAAATTAGAAGAAATTCAATCATGGCTTAGTACTCTTTTAACACACTGCTCTTTTTGCAGTGAATTAATTAAGGATGTAACATTGGTCATAGTTTAAGAATACTAAGTATTCAACATGAATTTGATATTTTAATGTTACCAATAGTATCAGATTCAATGTGATAAAAATAATTCATAAAGAAAACAGCATCACTCATGCATCTCATCTAGAAAACAGTAGGTTTAATTTTAGACTCATTCAGGCCCTAGATACTGCAAAGTGTAAAAAACAAGATATCCACAATAGCAGCCCCGGGTCTCAGAGTAATTCTAGAGCTAAGGATTACAACTACATCAATTGTAGTTTCAGATAAAAATTGCAGAATTCATCATTGACCCAAGGAAGTACAGAAGTTGTGTTCCAAAAATGTATATAAAAGCTCATACTGGACAATATGAATGCAGCATGACATTTTAACCACATATGTGAGAGAAACATTCTTGAGAACTCAAAAGCCTGTATATTATTGTAGAACTGGAATCAAGCCCAAGAAAGGCACTACTGTGTAACAAATTGTCAATAAAGTTCCACTGAGTAAGAAAAAAGTTGCATTTGAAAGAAAAATATCTGATACTTGATTAACTCAATCAAATCAATTCATTAAAGTAAATTACATGTGTGTTTACCTGGACAGCACTAAGGGTGTATAAAAGGTGAGGATCATGACCTATGCTGGCACTTATTCCCCCACATTCATGTTGACATGATTTGATAAATTCCAAAATTTCTTCTTTGCTCATACGATGTAGTTGTCCCATAAGATCCATTACTGTCAATCCCCAATAAACGCCACTCATTCTTAAATATTCTGACATACAGTATTCCTGAAAAAGTGTAACATTTTAGTTCCTATAATGATAGGAGAAAGCATCAATTATTTCAAAGATCCCCAAAACAGCAAATATAGTCAATTTATTTTTATTAGCAAAGGTATTTTAAACAACTTTGATTTCACATACTTTTTCTTTACTTTTATATTTATGTTTAGCTGTAACATAGCACCAGATGTATTTACTGCAAGAGAATTACTGTACTTCCTTGCCTTTTTAAAATACAGAAGTCAGGGAAGATAAGTACACAAATCCTACAAAATTACATCTTCCAAAGAACTAAACCTTTTTTTAAATGTAAACTGAATTTTCAAAATACACGGGATGCAGACATTTATTTAGCAAAACATTGAGGAAGTCCTATTTTTTTTAAGAATACAGTGATATCTTTAAATGTAAAATGCCTCTAAGGTTTCAATAGATATAATACATTACTAAGTATTGCTATTTTAAAACACAGAATTAGTCATTGAGTCATGCTGATGAAAGTTAACATTTACTTATTTAACATCAGCCCTTCATCTTTAAATCAAAATATTTTATGAAGGAGGAGGACCACATAAAGGTTGAATCCTCTTTACAGCTGTTTTTTTAGGTCTCAGTGTAATTCTAGAGCTAAAGAGCTAAATCTTCAGCTTTGGACTCAGATAATACATGCCAGTGTTACATCATTGACCTGCAAAACATCTGTAATTCATGGACTGATAAGTTTTTCTTTTACTCATCTTTTTAAGTCATTTTATAAGCTATTTTAAGAGAAATAAAGGCAACTGAATGCACATTAAACATGATACTCACATAATCATCCTTCTTTGTTCCATAAGCAGCTATGTAGTCTGCGTGCTTTTCTAAGAACAATGTAGCCGGTGCATCATTTTTTATTATGACATCTTTTTGTGGTGTTCCCTTAAAATAAAATTATTCAATTATTTTCAAAATGGTTTTCATATGAATTCTATGTCACAATCTAAAACTAATTTGGAAGGCTGCAACAATACTTGTGCAAACACATGCCTACTTAAAGCTTCTAGTTGATTCTAAATAGTTTCCCTCTACCTCTCCACCTAGTGGACTGGAGCTTGAACTGATTCCTTGCACCAGTTCTGGGACTGGGCAGAGGCCACATGTTGCTTACTCTCAATTTACTGAAGAAATTTGAGAAGACAATAGAACTGTAGTTCTCAATCTGTGGGTCCCCAGATGTTTTGGCCTTCAACTCCCGGTAATCCTAACAGCTGGTATTCATTGAAAAGCTATAGGAAAATGTTTTTTATGATAGGACTAAGTAGGAAATGGCATTTACAAAAATTGTGTTACAAAGTATAATCAAGAGTTTTAGCCTAGTTTATGGAGGTTGTAGAACAATCATTTTTATACTATTTCTCTCTTCAACTTAGGCTAGAATCTGCTCAGGGTCCTTATCCAATGAGAAATTAACACTTGTTCATTATATAGTTTCCTAAGTGGAGTCAATAAATAGGTCAGGTCCTGAAAATCTTTTTATGTAACTTACTCATTTCTATTTAATTCTGGGTTTCTGGATATATATGCAAATATATACCACCACCACCCCCCCAAATTCAAACGCTTTCTGGTTCCAAGTATTTTGGATAATGACTACTCAACCTATACTACAACTTATGATATAGTGCAACATATTATATAATACTAAGAGTATAATATACTGGTAGTATATATATAGTGGTATAACAACTTAGCACAATATGTAATATAATTGTATATTATATATGATATGTTATTAACAATATTGCAGTATTGTGGTATAGTATAATATAATAGTTTATAACAATATTGTAATATAATATATTACAATATAATACTACTATGCTATTAATATAATGTAATATAATATATTGTATATACATATATTTATAATATAATGTAATGCAAAATAATACGAATATTATATTATAATTATATATTTATATTACATGTAATATTACTAATAATATCATAATACAATGATATAGTACAATATAGTATTGTACTATATATATTGTATGAATATATATCTTGTAAGCCGTTCTGAGTCCCCTTCGGGGTGAGAAGGGCGGCATATAAATGTCGGAATAAGTAAATAATACACTACATATATATTAATATTACAATGCGATATAAGGCTTGTAATACAACATAACATATATTGTAATATAATAGTACTAATATATTATTATATTAACTATAATACTACTGATAATATATACTAAGATATTATACCGTTTTGTTGTATATTTTAACTTGATTGTGAGCCGCTTTGAGAAATAAAGCGAGATAGAAATAAATATATAATATAATAAATATAAATAAATAATAATAAAATAAAAATAAACCTGTAGTTTGAGCAGGAGAATGGCGACTGGTGGCCATACATGGAGCCTGAGGAGGGAGCCATGTCCGACGCCCACGAGGCTCAGAGCGAGACGACGCAATTAAAAAAAAAATAACCCTTCCCCACGTTGAACCGGAAGAGGCGGGGCAAAAGTGGGCAGCTGAGAGGCGGTCCACCAAGTTCGATCTGACTTGACCTCGTGGTTCTCTCTCAGGCGCGAGCCTGCGCGCTCACGTGACCCACACCGTAACTCTTCCCTGACTGGCAGCAGAACTGACCTATCACTGCCTAGCCTCTGGTTCCTCCCCCCGCCCCCAGGTTTTCACCAACCCGTTCTATTGGTTTCCGCCTCCCTTCCTATTTTCTCCCCCCCGCCCTTCGAGACACTCAGAAAACCCACTGTATCCGTTACGGGTAGAAAAAAAAGGAAGGGGCAATAACGAGCAAAAAAGGCGAAAGATAGAATTAACAGGGCGCGAGCGGGGGGAGGGGAGTTACAAAAATCACCTCCACCCTGAAGCGAAAATAGACGCAAGTTGCTGCTTACCATGTTGGCACATCCGTCGCAGCCTGCCCACTGCGCCTGCGCGCGCTCGTCGCTTGAAAGGGCGGGGCGCAAAGGACGCACGCGTCCGCCTCCAGTGCTTGAGGACCCCGTCATAGCTGCCCAAGTATTGCCTGTGTTCCTTCACTAAAATTCATTGTCTATCGCCTTTCGAGTGCCTCTTGGGCCTCTCAAGGGTGTTTCCTCTATGGCTCAAATATACGCGAGTTGTGACCCTGTTTTGTACACTAAATCGACATTCGGTTATGGTTTTACTGGTTGATCGTGTTATTGACACCGATACACGGTCGATTTTTGAAATGAACTCAGTCCCCTGTATCAAGCACTACACAGTATTCGCTCAATCAAGGATCACTGCTTGTCCCCTGCTTCGCCCAGTGCTCATTGGGAGCCTCTGCAGGATTAAGTGTCATGGTTCAATACAATGGAATTATGGGAGTTGTAGTTCAGTGAGGCACCAACATTCTTCACTTAAGTGCTAAAAACCTTGCAAAACTACAACTCACAATACGCCATAGCAGGCAAAGTGGTTTCAGACCACATTCATTCTATACTGTGATTCCACGCCTACTTATCCTCTGCCCCACTAGCACATTAAATGCCATAAACCTGGGAGTCTCTGCAAACTTACCGGGTTACCTTCTGTGAAGTCCTAAGAAGTGTTAGCTATGGCAACATTGGTTGCATATACACAGTAGATTTAATGCAGTTGGAAACCACTTTGACAGCCATGGCCCAATGCTATGGAATCCTGGGAGCCATAATTTGATGAAGTACCAACACAATTTGTCAGAGAAGGCAGAAGACCGTATAAAACTACAGCTCCCAGGATCCCTCAGCATTAAGCCATGGCTCTGACACACCCATATAACCCAGAACATCAAGGCAGAAAATCCCACCATATCTGCTTTGAACTGGGTTATCAGAGGGTCCTTCCACACAGCCCTATATCCCAGAATAATGTGTGATAATGTGTGATTTTTTTGCCTTGATATTCTGGGATATAGGGCTGTGTGGAAGAGCCCTGAGTCCACACTGCCATATATTCCAGTTCAACAGGTCATGTGGGATTTTATTCAGCTGTATAGAAGGGACCTGACGTTCTTTCAGGAGGCCGAGAAGCACCTCTCTCTCTGCTGAACTCCTTCTCCTGCCATTCACAGAGGGCACAGGCAGGAAGGACTCAAGGCCCTTTCACACAGCCATATAACCCAGAATATCAAGGCAGAAAATCCCACAATATCTGCTTTGAACTGGGTTATCTGAGTCCACACTGCCATATATTCCAGTTCAAAAGCAGGTAATGTGGGATTTTAATCAACTGTGTGGAAGGGGCCTGAGACATCCTCTGCTGACCTCAGCCTGTTGCCCAGAGACAGGGAAAAGCATGCCTCCAACCTGAGTCTGACTGTTAAAAGATGAAAGATGGACGCTTTACTGCTGGGAAACAAACTGAACTCTGTTCTTCCAGATTCGGGGAAGGAAAAGAGCACAGGGGTTGTAATTTGGTGAGACACCAGCACTCTTTGGCAGAGAAGGTTAAAGTTCAAGTAAAACGACAACTCTCATGATACCACAGCATTGAGCTACAGCAGTTAAAATGGTGTAACGGCATTAATTACACTGCACAAATGCAATCTCAGAGGGTGCAAGCATCTTACATTTAAACTTCAATAACTAAGATAGAGTTTTGACTTATCAATCTCCAATATATGAGACTTGAACTCTTCCTAATCCTTGATTCACAAAATAACTCGAAATTAAGACATAAATATTTTTTTCACTTTCCATGAAAGCCAACATGGTCAGTGACACTGTGTCATGAAGTAAAGCTGAAGTCTTAAACTGAAGGCTAAAATGAAAAGAAAAGAAAAAACCAAGAATTTATCTAAACTATGGCAAGATAGAACTCAGGAGAGTCATTTTTTCAAAAGCATTTTACAGCAAAATCTGGCAAATTATATCATTTGGGCACCAGACACAATGCACAATCACTGATCCATTTATTTCTTTGTTTAATTTATTCCTCTGGTACATTCCAACCGGGGTTGCAATATGAAATATTCCATTTCAAAATGTTTCAATAGTATACTTGCATAGATATAGGACTAACAAACACAGATTTTCTTTTTACCCTTTCCTGACATTTTTTTTCACCCAGAAGTGGGAATTGCAACGCTTTCCACATATAGTTATGTTGCAGCTTCCAGCAGTCTTGCATCTACTCAGCAAACCAATTGTGATGGTATCGCAATTCAACATCCAAAGTGACAAGCAACTCCATAAACTAGAAAGTATTCAATTGTGTCAAATGTGTAACTGAACTGAAGTAAAACTGGTGTTGACACCAATATATTCAGCCACATCCTTTGAGAAATTTTAAAAATAAAAACATTTCATTGCCAAAAAATATTCACAGTCTAGGTTACAAAGGAATTAGCTTTAAATGTAATACTATAGCTAATAAAAATAATGCTAGTACTTCAAATGTTACTAATAGAAATATTGCATTGTATGGCAATTTTTTTTATCATGTTTGATTATTACCAAATACCATTTAGCTGCTTCACTTTAAGCAACTGCAAAGGCACTGTCATCATTAAATACACTCAAATAATGTTCAAAACAAGCCTCACAATTATTTTACATCTGCCACACACTAAATTGATTATAAAACTATTAACAATTTACAAAGAAACAGAATTATTTTAGATAAATAATTATGTCATCAAAATGGATGGCTTCTTCAGAGGCACTGCTTTAAAAGCACTAGGATGGATTTATAAAGGCACTGCTTTAAATTAAGTGGGTGATGGCCACAATTGAAACAGATTTAATATTCTCTCTCTGTGCTGCTGAGCTACAAAAAGACGTAGTATTTTACATTACTATGTTAAATACTTAAAAGCCTTGTGCATAGAATGGCAAGTTCGCAGTAAACCTATGGACAACTTATCTGGTATCACTGCAAGTAATATACACCTCATATTTTAGCTTGCTGTAACATTTCGTAGTTATTAAAAGGCTGTGATAAACTCACAATTTCAATTCACAATTCACAATTTCCCACTACACAGAAAGATACTTAATAGCTCTTCCCACAATTGTGGTATTTGTAACCCAAACTGCTGCTGCTAATATCAGATCTTACATATGGCACTGAAACAGTTAAATTTTCAGATTCCAGGCATTTGAAAGATATTGCAGAGTAGACTTCAGAAGTCAAGCATAACAATCTGGGTCAGTTTAAAGCCAAGTGAAAGCTTAACATTCTAGCAAAGCATACAGTACTGACATGTAATGCCTGAGAAAATTTCCAGGCTAATTTTTTTAAATTGTTAAGTATGCAGCTTTTTTATGTATTAAAAATAAGAAACAGATATGTCACTGAAAAAATGTTCTACTATAGAGGCAATTTTTCTTTTAACATTATAGAGTGGAAACAAGTGTTTGCGGAAGTGGGTTAATGCATGCTAGGAATTCAAGCATTAACTATATGGTTTCCGTGTTCTCTCAACCTTTAAATCTGCCAAGATGTTCACGGCCTACAATTAGCCTTTGAATCTGTGCTGTTCCTTCATATATCTGAAAGAGAAAATATTTAATAAGTAATATGTGCACTTGGACCACTCTGCAACTATACAGAATTTCAGTGAAAACAAGATAAACCTTGGAAGTGATAACAACCCAAATGATTCAAAATTCAAGTTGCAAAATATGTTATGGGGGTAACATAATGTGCACTAATCACTTCAAGGCTGAACATAATGGAAGGGGTCCAGAAAGCTTCTTTGCACAAATTCTAAATAATTTGATGTTTTCAGTGAAATGTTTACACTGAAACCAGATAATAGTACATCACAAACGACTTTAAAAGTCCTCTTGCTTTGAAGAAAAAATTATATATGGGAACTGTTGTTTAACAGATACAAACCCTTTGGATATTCTGATATTTTGTTTTGCCATCATTTGAATTATAACAACCAATATCCCTGTGGCAAACACTATTCTGTATCAGTATATTTTTTTGTTATTGGTACTTTTGTAGTACTTTGGGGGGTGCATTTACAAATGCATATACAATTTGTAATAAATAACACTGATATGCTTAGTTTTCATATAAACTGACTGCATATCATCAAAGCTATCTGACAAAACATTAACAGCACAGTATATAATCATCTAAAAGTATACTCAAGTCTAAGACAGCAATCCTATGAAGTCTTCGTCAGACTTATGTACTACTGAATTTAGTAGAATTTATTTTTCAGCTAATGTGCATACAAGCACTCTGCATAGGTACAAAGAAGTTACAGAGGGATAACTGCTACTAAAATAAAGAGAGCATTACCCTACAAAAAGACTCTTCAATCAGTTAGATTTATTAGTTCAAGAACAAATGTTTTGACTGTCTAAACAGCATGTCTTTGACTACTATTTCTTCTTTTATTATTAGTTCTTAATACACACATTGGTAATAGCAAGAGCCACCTTTAAGGGTGCAATCTCTTCTACGATAATTCCTCATAAAACAACTGGTGGCACAATTCTTGCATTATGCAAAATCTTTACAAAAAAGTCAAACTTTTCTTTTGAACTACTATGTCTCATGCAAAATGTTGTATATTAAGAGACTACTACTATGAATCCTTTAAGACAGCAGCATTATACAGGATACTTACCTGATATATTTTGGCATCTCTCATTAGTTTTTCTACTGGGTATTCACTGTTGAATCCATTTCCTCCAAAGATCTGGACAGCATCTGAAGCTACTTGATTTGCAATATCCCCAGCATATGCTTTTGCTATAGATGCATAGTAGGTATTTCTGCGACCAACATCGATCTCCCATGCAGCCCTTTGGTAAGCCAGGCGAGCAAGTTCAACTTTCATTGCCATTTCAGCCAACATGAAAGATACTGCTTGGTGCTATGATTGAGAAACATCAATCAGTGTTGAGAAATTGATGTCAATGATGTTATATAACCAAAAGAATATTGTCATGTAAACTACATAACTTACTTATTGAAAAAATAATAACCTGTGATACAAGAAGGAGGGTGCCAGTAGCTTCCTGAGATGAGCCAGTATCTCACTATATTCTAATTTTCAACAACTTTCATTTCATAATCATAACATATGTTATCACAAACTGATCTGGGTTTAATTTTTAGTGCTCATAACACAAAAAACTGAGAAGCAAGTCACTTCATGAATTTGAGGCAGATAAGTAAACTGCAAAATGTCTTAAAATTTAACAATATGGTTCAAACAAACTGAGATAGAAAAGATGTTGGACTATATATACCATGATCTCCAACCTCTGATCTTACTTGCTGGGACTGATGGATGTTATAAGAGCACATATATTAGGGTCTGTTTAGTTCTGAGAAGATAATACAACATACTATTCTACAGTGGGAAAATTCACAGCACATTTGCCGTATTATCTATGAATTCTTTAAACCAGAAAACCAGAACCTGCTTGTGTTACAGATCTTTTTAAAACAGTGTCATGTGTTCAAAATATAAGGAAATTCCTAATAAAGATTAATGAATGCTGTTTCATTGTTACCTGTAATATAACTACCAGTGTTTCACGCGATTTTGATAGAATTGTGAAAACAGATCAGCCTGAACAGATATTAACTGGAAATTAATACAAAGTGACTGAAAATGCACCTACCTCTGCGAGTATCCTGCCAAAGGTTTTTCTTTCTAGAGCATACCTTGTAGCTTCATCTAAGGCTCGCTGTGCTAGTCCTACCGCACCAGCTGCTACCTGTAGTTTTAAGGATGAATATCATGAAATTTGACTTCTATCATTCATGGACTCTATAATTTCTCAATTTTCTTCTAGCCAGTACTTACTGGAGGCCTTGTTTTATCAAATGCTCCCATGGCTATTTTAAAGCCGGCTCCTTCACCAATGAGAATATTCTCTTTGGGCACTCTTACATCCTCGAAAACAATCCCTCTTGTATCTGAGCAACGCTGACCCATATTAAGTTCCTGAAGAGGAAATTTGTGAAAGATGTAATTATCCATTAACACAGAAATACTTGACGAAAACTAACCAAGATTATATACAGAGTGCCACAAAAATGCATACTTACTTTGATGTGAAAAATATTACCCTATAATTATAACTACTATATTTATACAAAAGCAAAATGGGTATGAGAGGTGTCCTTGAATTTTGGGATTCAATGCATGTGTTTGAAGTGCCCATTGTCGGCATCCAAACACTCAAAACCGCCACACTGCTACACAAACTATGTTCTGTAATGTGTCCAGTGTGATAACTGCATACGACCTTGCAGTTTTCTCATACAGCAATCAGTGTAGTTGGTTTCCTCTGTTAAACATCTTCCTTTAGCATCCCCCCATAGGTAGAAGTTGAGAGGTGTTAGATCAAGGGACAACACTTCTTCGACCTATCCAAAAACGAACATCTCAATGGTAGTGAGGGGAGTGCCAGCTTGTTCTAGGTAAAAGCTTTCATCCCCAGTTCTCGGATGGTAGGTAAAATGGATGTCTCAAGCATATCAAGACTTGTAGGTAAAAACTTTAGTCTCCAGCTCTCAAATGACAGGTAAAGTTGATGTCTGAAGCATATGAAGACACAGCACACTGGTAAAAGTACAGATTTTCAGAGGACTAGTACACATAATGATGGAGGTTTACAGTATCAGTTTGAATTGTTCCTTATCAGACCAGACAAGCTTCCCTCTAAATGCCTCATCATCACACACCATGCTTTCAAACCACCCAAAGTACTGAAGTCTTCAGTCTGTATCGTCCTCAATCATAACATGCAGCATCCTTGGAATGTACACCTTCCACTTTGTACTTTTCAAATTTTGTTGTAAACTTGATTGACTAATTCTGGTTTTGTGTGAACACTAGGCTTGGTCCTGAATCAGTTTGAATGAAAAAGATTTGTATTCAGTGGGCAGTTTTATATAATCTCCAAAATAGACCGGGAAGGAGGGAGCTGAACAGCCTGGCAAAATGGATTCAGGGAACAGGATTTTATCCGGTTCTTAGTGAGGAAGCAGTAAAATTTCCAATATACCTGAGGCAGGGATCTGCCCCATCCGTCTTTTCTCCTCCTCCGGCAGCGGTGCCCCATTTCTTTTGAAAAAGTTCCCTAGTCTCCTCCTCCAGAGAGGGCCCTGCTGAGAACTTGCTTTCCCAGCAGCACTTGCACAGGGCAGGCAGTCTCTGAGTTGCTCCCAAAGCATGATGTGAGTTTAAGTTTTTCTCTCTGGTTCTCAGCCAATAAAAGTCTTGGTTTTATCTAAATCTAAAACTGAGGTAGGTTTCAAGCAGATAGGCCTTAAAATGACTGAGAATTGAACCTCTAGAATTTCCTGTTGTAGCCAATGGGCCGAATCTTTGCTGAATGAAAACAGCAATACCACTCCCCCTTTCGAGTAACTTCCTGGTAAACAGAATGAGGAGTCAGTTGCCACTGGACCCGAAACAGGATGCCATTTGGCCAGATTGTACACCCCTAGTGAGCACTATTTACAGACTTCAGTGGTGAACGTGTAAATTGAAATACTACAGCAGAGGTACCTGTTCATGGTCCCTTGTATCTTTCTTTGTGCTCATCGGCAACAGTACCATCGATTTCAAATTTATCCTGAATTCATGCAATTCTTAAGACATTTTGGTAGCTGTGTTCTAATCTCATTCCGCCATTGTCTTTGTACCTGTCTAATGTTTTCAAACTTAAGGTAACCATATTACATTCTCACCCTGAAATAGAAATTTCATTTACATTTATTCCAAAAACATTGATGAGTAAGGAGTGTATACATTTTGGGGGCACTCTGTATTTTTAGTCAAGAAGACTGAGACAAGATATAGTAAATGCCACTGGTATGAGTGACTCACACAAAAGCATTAAGAGTAAAAGATGTGTAAAGGTTTTTATTGGTTTTATGATATGTTAATATCCGCTTGTTGTTACTTACTTACTTGTTCACATTTCTATTGACTGACAGTTTTTGTTAACCTACACTGTCAGTCAATAGAAATGTGATGTTGTTAACCTACCACAAATACTCATATATAAATTGACTTCATGTATAAGAGTGAAGTCATGTCACTGCACCTGAGTTCAACTCTCTCAGATAATAAGACAAGTAGTCTTAAGATAAAAAAATTGGCTAATAAACTTGGCAACCATCTCTGTAATACACTTGGCTACATCCTTGAAATATTTGTTTGTCAGACTGGTGCCTCCAGTTCACATATAATGGACACAAACTTCTATTTATTCACCTGGTTGTGGTTAGCAAAGTGTTTCTTCAATGCAAAAAGAGCACCCAGCTATGCTTTTTTCTTAGAAAAACTGTCAGTCAATAGAAATGTGAACAAAAATATAATTTAATGCAGGGTGTCAATCATTTTCATCGAGGGCCATATCAGTCTTATGGTTCCCTTTAAAGAGCCAGTGAATCCATGGCTATAGAGGACCAATATAATTTTCTGTCCAATAGTGGACAATGCTATTCAGTTTTTATCCAATTTGGTTGCCCGGATGTTTTTGAACAGCTCCCATCACTGAAGATAATGAGAACTGCAATCCAACAGCACTTGTCACACTGAGGTTCGGGAAAAGGTAAAGGGCATTTTAAAGTCAGACATGATATCCACAAGCCTTGATTCTAAAGTCAAAGCCTACTCTCCTGACAAAACAGAACAAACTGCAGCCTTCCAGGTGTTACTGTATCACAACTCCCATCAGCTTTAGTCAAGACATCTAATGATGAGGAATACAGGAGTGGCATAGACACTGAGAACTGGAAAGCCCTGGCCCTTGAGCGCTCCAGCTGGAGGTCAGCTGTGACTAGCAGTGCTGCAGAATTTGAAGAGGCATGGATGGAGGGTGAAAGAGAGAAATGTGCCAAAAGGAAGGCGTGTCAAGCCAACCCCTACCGAGACTGCCTTCCACCTGGAAATCAATGCCCTCACTGCGGGAGAACATGCAGATCAAGAATAGGGCTCCACAGTCACCTACGGACCCACCAGAATACTAATCCTGGATGACTATCCTACTCGGCCAACGAGGGATCGCCTAAGTAAGTACAGGAGTGGCATCTGAAGGGCCACAGAATATGACATAGAGGAGTCAGTTCATGGGCCTTGAGTTTGAGACATGTGATCTAATAGTAAGCATTCTTATAGCTAGAATGTTGTGGTTTAGTTTAAGGTCCCTGCCCTCCAGAAAGCAAAATTCATGGATATGCATGGCCTGTCATTTGCAATGCCATTGTAAGATAATGTTCCTTATATAAAATGGCTTTTTGGGGAGGAAATATTTTCAAACTGTGGATGATTGAATTTGTGGGTGCGGAATCCACAGATATAAAGGGCAGACTATGGTAGTAAATGCTATTCATTTTAGTGAATTTATTTCCCGGCATGTGTATGAAGGATTAAACACCAAAAATATTTAAAGATGCCACACTCAGGATTATTTTGCGAGAGGACAAATAGAACTGTTTAAATTCAATCCAGGCTGGATATTATATTACCGGCATATGTTCTTCTGGTTGTGAAAAGTACTAGAATCTGGTAAAGCCTACCCATTAAGAAAAGGAACAAGGAGGCACCACCTTTTTAATGCTGCGACAGTTACCCAGCCTTTCTGAACTGCTTTACTGGAGGCATAGAGGGCAAAGAGATATTCTGAAGATGGCCTCCTCATCCCACTCCTCCAGCACTCTGTTGGGTGGATCAGTTCCCTGAAGCTTCAGGTCAGCTCTTTTGGGCCAGTTTTTGAACATCAAAGATGGCATTTTTTTCACTTCTTACTGAAAAGAATCCATTCCTGATACCTCAGTGAAGGCTGAAGTATTACTACAATACCTTTCTTCCTATTTGTATTCCAGGGCTATCTGCTTCCACGATAAAGCCAGTAAAAGCTTGATTTGCAGGAGCTTTGGGATCAGGAACAGTGCGAGCCAACAAAAAATACCTAGTAAAAAGACAGAGATGTCACAACTTTCACTGTAATGGATGTGAACAGTAACTTACAGCACAAACTACTTTAGCTTCACAAATATTAGGGCAATAGAGACTCACAGCATAATCCAAAGGACACATACACAGAAATGTGTCCCAGAATTCAGTGAGTTTTAACATAGCTGATAACAGACTCTAATCCTTCAATGCTATATATTTACAATTAGAAGAAACAAGCATTGTTACAATTTGGGAAAAAATCATGATCATTTACAATGACATTGTGGTAGTTTGAAGTGAAGGGTTGCCTTCCTTGGAACAAGAAACATGTAGGATGCATTTCTGTATGGCTACCAAAACTTCTAACTGCTCCACATTACATAAAACACAACGCATATGCATGTATAACACTCAATAATTGGATTACTCCAGGAACAGCAGTTGTCTTTTAAAACAAGGAGTAGCCCTCCTGCCTTCCTCATTTCACCAAAATGTGAGAATTTTTACAAAACTGTAAATAATCTATCTAGCTGGTGAAGCCTTGAAAATTGGCCTCTATATCCATGGAGCTTGTCCATCTCCAATTCACACAATTGTCTTCACTCCTCAGTCCCATTCCCTCTTTCCCAACTCTCATATTTTATTGTGCCCAGGAATATGGAGACCTAGTTGCATATTACTGGTTGCTCCATTACTGAATATTCCGATCCCTGGTCCAAACATGGTTCATGAATGGCAGCGATCTTGGGAAGTGATTTTCACATGTATAATTGACACATCAGTATGTCAACAAAAAAACACTATATGGAAAGTATTACTATACCAGTTGGCCTTGCCACCATTGGTGATCCACATTTTTTGTCCATTAATTATATATTCGTCTCCTTTCTTTTCTGCTTTTGTTTTTAGACCTGCGACATCTGAACCAGCTCCAGGCTCTGTTACACAGTAGGCCTGAAAAAAAGCAATTACACATGTCAAGAGACAACAAGAGTGTGATACATCCAAGACTACATATTATTACACAGCTAATTTCATTTATAGCTTGTAATGTCCTAATAACATTTCATGAGTCGAACTGACTTGGCAATATTTTCTTTCTTTTTTCCAGTCTGGGACCCAATGCAGCATTACTATAGGCGATGTCATCCATTACCTGAGTTATATTCTGTTTTGACTGCGGCAATGTGCTAGAAAGAATATTAACTTTTAAGGGTATCTGTGAGATTCAGTTGGCACATATAAAAGCAGATAAATGTATCTGGCCCTAAGACAGAAAGACTTGCACTAAGTTGCCATTAGTTTTCCAGGCAAATTCAGGATACTGGCTATTATGTGTCTCAACTGAACTTGCCCACATGTTAAAATCTTGCAAAAAAGCCCTCTAGAGAGTACTTGCAGAGGCCCATTTGAAAGGGATGTGAGGAACTGAATGCATTCTGGTTCATTTCCCTTCTCTCTGTTTTGTAGAGGAAGTAAAGACACATCTTGTGAACTGTTTTGATTATTGAGATTAGTGCTTTTAATTTTTCAAACAAAATTCTTTTCAAGGATGTTTTAACTGTCTTGAGCACGAACAAATATAAAAATAAAATAAATATAAGATCCAGCCACTTTAATGGTACAGTAAGATGCTTCATTACCATATTGACTCAGATCTAATGCTCATCTTTTTTTGGTTAAACTGCCTCATCAAAATTGGGGTGCACATTAGATTTGCATAATATAGTAAGCTTAGTGATGAGCCAAAGCAAAAGGGGAAGTTGCTTCAGGAGCGCATGGCACTCCGATTTGAGGGACATCATCTCTAATTTAATGGCCATGGCTCAATGCTATGGAATCCTGAGATTTGCAGTTTGGTGAGCCACCAGTATTCTCTGTTTGCTATTTATAACAAGATCATATCTAGATGTAGAATAAAAAGGATTGCACTGTATGAAGTACACTCTCTTGGATGACAGAAAGTGATCAGGAACAAAAGAGGCTTTGAATAACTAAATTATATTCCTGTCACTAAGACTCTTGGGCTCCTGTGGTTCACCACACATTTCAATAAAAGAAGCCAGTTCATAACCTCATTGTTGGTGTGAACCCAAATGCTCCTTCATTAAGATGAACCATGTATGTTTTCTACATGCATAATAATAATAATAATAATAATAATAATAATAATAATAATAACAATAATACTTTATTTATAAACCTTCTTATTCCCCCAAAGGGACTCATAAAAGGTACATACACATCTCTAGACCACAGCCGTATTACTAAACAAATACTGGCTGGGGCTTTTGGAATGCTGAACAGGCTACTTGTTTTATTAATGATTCATGTTATTTTAATTGCTACTGAGTACCGATAAGTGACTATGAGACCTTAGCATTTTTGTTTGATATAAAAGCTAAGCAGGGACAGCTCTGGCTAGGATTTGGTTGGAGACTGCCAATGAATACTAGATGATATAGACTATACTTTAGAAGACGACCTGGCAATCTATCTCTTGAGATTGCTCTTACGTAAAAATCCCTATAAAATACATATTGTTGCTATAAGTTGAGAGGTGACTTAAAACCCACACCCTTCTTTAATATGAACTCAACATGACTGCTGGCAATTTTGCTTGAACATTTCTCTTTTTTAAAATGACCTTTCCATTTGTTTCTGTTTACTGCCCTGCTATAAACTCAGAATGTACATGCGATTTCAGTGTATCAGTGTAGTGAAAAGCTGTACATTGCCTTTGGGAGTAAGTTATGAATGCCTAACACCTTATTGTTCAACATAGCTACCTGTTACTAAGATTAGGATCTGGCCCATTTAATACTCCCAAGCACATCTCATGATCTCTGAACAGTTAGATATGTTTCATTACAATTGTGCACAGTAAAAAAATCCAAGTTCTATACACAATGAAAAACACTTACACACATTAAGGGTGCTTCTGTCATTCTTCCCAGGTATTTCTTCTGTTGTTGCTCATTCCCTGCAATGATGACTGGCATTTGCTGGAAGAAAAGATGCTGGCTTAGTACACGTAATCTGATTGCTTAGACTAAATATTACAAAGACGAGACAATAAATACTCACTCCCAGGGAATTTGCTTCAATGGCAGTTTGAACTCCTGTACATCCAAATGCTAATTCTTCAGTAATGAGACAAGCATCAAAAGTGCCAAGACCAAGGCCACCTAAGACAAAATATCATTTGAGCATGTTACCCCTATAAAAACTGACACTATATTGCACTTTAGCTCTGCATTATACCACAGCAAAACCAATATATTTCCAGGTCAATTAATTACTTACACATGTTGGGTATCTCTTACCTGGAAATCTAAAATGCTCCAAAGTCCAAAATTGCCAAGGCCACCCACCACATACACATACACACACACACACACACACACACACACACACACACTCCATAATAATAATGATGATGATAATAATAATAATAATAATAATAATATCTGAAATCCAAAAAATACTTCTGGTCCCAAGCATTTCAGATAAGGGATACTCAACCCACACTTCCTTTAAAAGGGAGCCACAGAGAATTACATGAACTACAAGATGCCTATGTAGAGTAACTCTCATAGTGGAGCTTCCTCATATTATTTGCTTGTGTGATTGGACAAGCACAATCTTCATACCAGAAAAATTTCTACAACTTCATCTCTCTCCATTCAAGGCACAACAGTTAAAACAAATGGCCAACAGCATGCTCATCAATATAGTTCTATTCATACATGTGTCCAATATATCAGTCATTAAGTGGGCTGTCACAAAAGAAATGATACATATGATCATGCCGTAACTATTTAAGAATTTTGTGATTTTTAATGAAAGAACAGTACGTTTTGCATTAAGCATTTTGGCAATCATTTCTTTCAGAAAACAATATGAATATGAAAATACATATGTCTTCAACTCTTGTAAAAGTCTACTTTAGTTTACTTTGTTTTGTAGCTTATGCAGTAATTCACTTACCACAGCTTTCAGGGATGTGAGTATTCATCAAGCCAAGCTCCCATGCCCTTTTAATGAGAGGAACAGGATACTGGGGGAAAGAAAGCGACATAAAGGTATTGTATGCATAGTTTCTGTATTTAAAAGAGTTTGCTCAGTGAAATATTCAAATGATTCCCTACTATATATCAGATATACCTCTCCAGTTCTGTCATACTCAGCCGCAACAGGTAAGATTTCCTCTCTAGCAAATTTCCGTGCTGTAGCTTGAAATTCCTTCTGCTCTTCTGTAAGTTCTGAAAAACATGAAATTTTTGTTTATTGTTAATTTGCCTCTTCCAAAAGCATTTCTTCGTGAGTAGAAGAATAGAGTGCTTCTTGTCTTCTTCCACGCCAGTGTTTTTTTTATTTTCATCTAAGGGTAATCCTGGACTAAATCAGAAAACCAAATATTCCAGAATTCTGTCTCCCATAACAGCCAATTAAAGTCCCTAACCAGCTCCAATTAGAGGCTGCATGTTAAAACTATAGCTTAAAGAATTCTTCCCCAAGCATAGCTAGGACAATAATCAGCATATGAATCATGTTTCTAAACAATTCATATGTTACCTAATTTACATCACACGAGTAGTAGTTATCAATAGTGTTATTTTCCACTGATTTAATCCCCCTTTAAGGATATTTTAAGAAACAAAAAGCCTGCACTTCTGATGTAATTTCAAGATAAAGAATTATCAAAGCAGAAAATATACACTCTCTGATTTAAACTGGATTATATGAGTTTACACTGCCATATAATCCAGTTCAAAGCAGATATTGTTTATTATTTATTTACCTTCTTTATACCCCACCTTTCTCAACCCCAAAGGGGACTCAAGGTGGCTTACATATAGGCAATTATTCAATTCCTTAGGCAACATAAAATTCCAATGAACATTAAAATGAAAATTAACACATGTTAAACATTTAAAAACATTACATTCAGTATTAAAACCACATCATCCATATTCATAGTCCAGGGCCGTTCCAATAGTAATTGCACATATTCCATATCTATTATTGCACTGCAACTATTCTCCGAAGGCTTGATCGAAAGCCATGTTTTTACTGGATTTTATATGGCATTGTAGAAGGAACCTCTGTCTTACAAATGATCTAGATGATATATTGTATTTTAAATCCCCTTGATCTCATCAAGACTTCTTTCGTTTTTCCCTAATATTAACAAAACAAAATTCTTCCCCTAATAATAACAAAATGAAGTTCTTTGGCTGAAAGTTGAAATAGTGGCATGGTAATCCTAGACACTTCCCTTTAGTAGAAAACAAAGCTTTTTTTTCAGTGCTTTTTCAGTACTTACCAAAACTAAATCCAGTTGCATGTTTGCTTTTTGGTAATGCTGCAGGAGCTTGACTGGACTGTGCTCTCCAACCACATATAGCAATGCTTCTTATCACCTGGAAATTTGTTTTGAAAGTAAATTGAAAAACACTTTCAATTTATTCTCTAAATTTATTAAAAATGTCAACACACCCACATACATAAAACTGTAACAAGATCAATTAATTTAAAGAAAGAACAAAATGCATTTTGATCAGGAGAAGCTGGAGAATTCTACATATTTCAATGTGAAATACAATTTTTCATGTCTCTTCTGTTACAAAACTATATACAGTACATCTGGAAATATGTCCCTGGGCTTTGAGTGGAAACGCAAAAGTATAGTTAATAACAAACCATACTGACCAAAACACCTCTGGCAGAAGCACACAACAGAGAAACATTGGAGAATGTAGGAAATACAGTGACAGAACACTACTTCAAACACTGCTATGTCCTCCAGCACAACTGCAGCCAACTTCCAGCAGAAGTATACCATAGAATTATCAGGAAGATCTAGAAAATGTCTAGAGAGGACATATTATTTCAATCACAAGTAAATATTAAAAATCAGCCCTGGAGATACGTGAGTTGTACTGCCCTTCTAAACTAGGGGTCCTCACACTTTTTAAACAGAGGGCCAATTCAGTTCCTCTGAGTGTTGGAATTCTGGAATATATTTTGTTGTTGATGCTGTGTGTCTTCAAGTCATTTCAGATTTAGGGTGACCCTATCACAGAATTTTCTTGTCAAGATGTATTCAAAAGGGATTTGTCTTTGTTTTCATCTCCGGCTGAGAGTGTGACTTGCCTAAAGTCACCCAATGGGTTTAGAGCCATAGTCTGAGGTTCAAACCACTACACCACACTTTCTGAATTCTTTCCCTCTCTTTTTCCAACCTCCTTTTCTTTCACCCTCTCTTCTCTTCCCTCTCTGTTTCCTACCTACTTACCCTTCTTCCTGTTCTCCTTCCCTCTCTTTTTCCTACCTCTTTTTCTTTCTTTTTTCTTCCCTCTAACTCCCCCCCCCCCCCCCCCCCCCCCCCCCCAGAATCCTCTCTATCCCATTCTTGGAAGGATTCTTTGGAAACAATTCTTCCATTGCTGTTTTTAAGAAGTGCATCCCAGTATTGTGTGTGCATTCAAGCATTTTCCCCAGAGAAAATGTGTTTTGCACACACATCACAAGGTGATGGTTCAGCAAACAATTATAATCCCTAGTGCTAACTACTGACATTGAATGTGTCTCATGCCTTGAGCTGCTAGCAAAAGTGGGAACACTATTTTTTGTTTTTTGAAGGGTTTGGGCTGATTCATTACTTAAAATGCCATTTTAAAAGTCTTTTAAAAAGCAGACTGGCTCACTCCTTTCTCCAAATTTTATCACTGTCACGAAGGTACAACAGTATCAAGGCTCTGACCTTTCTATTATGGTGGTTTCCATGTACATTATCTCCCTATGGCAAACTCTTCTCTACATTAACTCCCATAGTAATTGATTTGTTTTATACATCCCTGCACACAAACATGGTTTTTGCCTTGTTTATTTTCTAGTTTCCTGGGTACTTCTTAGTCTGAGAATGCTTGCCTTTCTGTAGTGAGAGACTACATGACCTTCCCATAGGTTCCGAATCTAATTTTGCATAGCCAGATAAGAAGGCATAACCATATATACAAATTGTTGTTGTCATTTTTAATGAAAACTTGGAAACAAAAACACAAATGATAAAAGTGGAAAATTCCATCTCTGTCATTCCAGTTATGTCTTACACAGCTATAGTACATCTTGCTGTTGAAATATGAGTACAAGCATATAATTAACAAATTAGATGTGCTCCAAGGATACATCTTTAATGGAAAATTTAGTACTGGAGAAAAGTCAGCAGGGAAAGAATAAGGAAGGATTCCTGCACTATAAAAATGATGAGCAATTTCAGCAAACTTTGCATTTAAAATTAACAACATGTTCAAATGAGAAAAAAACAGGGAATGCATCTACACTGTAGAATTGCTGCAGTTGGACACCAACTTTACTGCCACGGCTCAAGTCTATGGAATCCTTGGATTTGTAGCTTGGTGAGGCACCAGTACTCTTTGGCAGGGAAGGCAAAGAGCTTGTAAAACTACAATTCCCATGATTCCATCACACTGAGCAAGGGGCAGTTAGAGTTGTGTCAAACTTACAGTATAGATCTGGCATAGGCAAACTCCAGCCCTCTAGGTGTTTTGGACCAACACCTAGAAATCCCGGCCATCTTATCAGTCGTTAGGAATTCTGGGAGTTGAAGTCCGAAACACTTGGATGGCTGAAGTCTGCCTATGCCTGCTGTAGATGCTCCCTAGGTCAGGTAAGCCTTGCAGAAGTGAAGAAATTTTTTCAGAAGTTTCTAAAGGTTCTTTTAAATTGTACTGAGGGATTACCTTTTTTTCTTTCACTTGCCACCAGTTCTTTTTATGATTTATGTTTGGATGGTCAAAGTTATTTTTAACTTGCTGTACGGAGCGAGTGAGCCAGCCTTTCCTCCTTTCTATTCTTATGTTCCTGCATGCTCAATAAGTGATGCTGGAGACAGTGGTTGTTTATCTTGCCTGTTATATCATGTTCCAATAGGATTGGCTAAATTAGAATTCCACTTTATCCAGGGCAAAGTTCATTGCATTATTTATTACAGATATGCTGTTGCAACCTGATTCCAAAGGTATGTATTACTCCCACTCTCTTTTCAAAATCCTCCTAATGCCACCAGAAATCTTTCCAGAAAATAAGGAAGAAAGGGACACTGGTTACAAAAAAGATCTTCTCTGTCAGAAGCACTTTTATTGAGGCATGGCTGCTGTGTAATCTTTTACAGTGATTGTCAGACTTTGGCCCTTCAGATAGTTGGAACGTCGTCTCCCTGAATTCCTGACTTTTGTCTGTGTTGGCTGGGATTTTGCCAACTGAAGCCAAAAACATCTTGGGGCCCAAAAAACTGAGAAACAGTGTTTTACACCACTGTAGTACAGATTGAAAGTCCTTTATCCAAAATGTTTGGGACCAGAAGTGTTCTGTATTGTGGATGTCTTTCTGATTTATGAATACTTGTATATACATGAGATATCTTGGAGATGTGATCCATGCTGAAACGTGAAAATCTTTTATGATTCATGTGTACTTTATACACCTAGCCTGAAGGTAATGTTACACATAACATTTTAATTATTTTTGTAATGAAGAAAACAACATTTGCGTAAACTGAACAATTTTGAGAGCATTTTGGATTTGAGAATTCCAGATACGCTACACACTAGCACATATCCTAATTCTTTGTAAAAGTCTGTACAGTACATATCTGTTTTGTCAATGAAATGTTAGGATAAAGAAATCAATTCCTTTTCATAAAACAAAATCCCATTAATACCAAAGATAAAATAATAATACTAATACTAATAATAACTTTATTATTATATCCCACCACGATCTCCCCAAAGGGACTCAGGACATCTTACATAGCAACCAAGCCCAACATAAACAAAATTTACAAGCATAAAACTCAATTTAAAAACATAATAATATATGAAAAATCTAAATTAAACAATGGACCTTCCCTTAAGGCTCCATTACATCATGGTTAGTTTCTGAAGTTATTATTATGCTTACATTAACTGCACAGATGATTAAAGTGTTTGAGATGACATAACTTGTAATAAACCCTCCCCTTAAAGGTGTTTATTCCCAAATAGTCTGGAATTTTATTGTGATTTGCTGTTGGCTAATACCTGACAGGTGGAGTGGCTTCAGCATTTGACTATGACTGTATTTGCACTGTAGAATTAATAATGCAGCTTGACATCATTTTAACTGCCTTGTTTCAAGGTTATGAAATCACAGGAGTTATAGTTTGTGTGTTGTCAATGTTATTGCTTTGTTTTCTGAGTTATTTTTGCTGTCTGTTGTTGCTGTTGTTTTTACTATTGTATTTGGGCTCGGCCTCTTGTAAGCCGCACCGAGTCCTTCGGGAGATGGTAGCGGGGTACAAATAAAGGTTTATTATTATATTATTATTAGTTTGGTGAGACACCAGCATTCTTTGGCAGAGAGGGCTAAAGGCCTTGCAAAATGACAATTTCTATGGTTCAATGGCATTGAGCCTTGTCCAGTAAAGTGGTGCCAAACTGCATTAACTCTACAATGTAGATCAGGCATGGGCAAACATTGGCCCTACAGGTGTTTTGGACTTCAACTCCCAAAATTGCTAACAGCGTGTTAGGAATTGTACAAGTTGAAGTCCAAAGCACCTGGAGAACCAAAGTTTGCCCATGCCTGGTGTAGAGGCTCCCTATGACTCTGGGGCCCTTTCCACACAGCTGAATGAAATCCCACATTATCTGCTCTGAACTGAAATATATGTTAGTATGGACTGAAATAACCCAGTTCAACACAGATATTGTGGGATTTTCCACCTTGATATTCTGGGAGCCCTTCCACACAGCTCTATATCCCAGAATATCAAGGCAGAAAATCCCACAATATCTGCTTTGAACTGTGTCATCTGAGTCCATACTCAGACAATGTGGGGTTTTCTGCCTTGATATTCTGAGATATAGGACTGTGTGGAAGGGGAACAAGGGTTCAAATCCCTGCTAAGCCATGGAAACCCACTGGGTGAGACTTCACATTCTCTTGGCCTCAAAGGGAGGCCAGGACAAAGCTCTTCTACACAACCCTTGTCAAGAAAACCTCATGATAGGTTTGCCATAAATCAGAAATAATTGCAGGGGGAAAGGATCATAGGAGATGGTTCCCACTTCTTTCTTGCAAACAGTGACCACGAGTGTGTCATTCAGAAACCCTTGACATTAAAAAAAAACCACGGCCTTTCAGACTAGGCTGAAGAATGAATGCAATTTGACACCATTTTAAGTGCCATGGCTGAATGCTATGGGATCCTGGGGGGTTGGAGTCTGACAAGGTTTTTAGTTTCCTCTGCCAAAGAGGGCAGGCGCCTCACCAAACTGTACTTATAGGATCTCATAGCACTGAGCCACGGGTAGTGTCAAACAGTGTTCATCTTACAATGTAGATTAGGTATGGGCAAACTTGGGCCCTCCAGGTGTTTTGGACTTCAACTCCCACAATTCCTAACAGCCTACCGGCTGTTAGGAATTGTGGGAGTTGAAGTCCAAAACACCTGGAGGGCCCAAGTTTGCCCATACCTGTTGTAGGCCCCTGTAGTGCCTCCCTCGCTCTCCAGGATGGGCCCGGCTCTCTCCTCCCTTCTTCCTCAGCCAGGCCAGCTCCTCGCCCACGAAGCCTAAGGATTCCCTTCAATCTATGCGCCTCGATTTGGGCCTCCAGGCCTTAACAACGCTCTTCCTCACCCGAGAAGCCTTCCACGCAGCCATTCGGCCTCCTCTTCCCTTCCGCCCTTCGCTCGTCTCCTCTCAGCCGGCCAGAGGCTCACCTCCCACCTACTGGGCACAACGCCTGGGCCCCGCCTTCAGTGGGCAGGGACCAGGCATGGCGACCGGCTCTGAGAGAGGGAGGGAGGGAGGGAGAGAGGGAAAAGGCCGCCAAGGAGGGCGGTGCCCCGTTGCTACGGCAACGAGAGAGTTGAACTCGGCCTTTGCCCCTCGCTTGCGCCGCCGCCAGTGGGCCTGAGGCCTTTCGGACTTCAGCTCCCAGGATCCTTGATCATTAGGCACAGCAGCCGAGGCTTCTGGGAGTTGAAGTCCTAAAAAACACTCCGCACAACAGCGCAGCACTTGCAAGCCTTTAGGACTCCAACTCCCACAAAGCCTAGTGCGCGTTTATTGATTTGATTACCGCGGCTCCGTGGCGAGGGAATGCTGGGAGTCGTAGTTTTAGACGCTCTTGAGCCTTCTCTGGTGCCTTGCCAAACTAAAACCCCCCTAGCATTCAGCCATGGCAGATAAAATATGCCAGACTGCATTCATTCTACAGTGTAGACCCTTCCACACCGCTGTGAAAAATCCACATTATCTGCTTTGCACTGGATTATATGGCAGTGTGGACTCAAATAATCCAGTTTAAAGCAGATAATGGGGATTTCATGCCTTGATATTCTGCATTATATGTCTGTGTGGAGGAGCCCTTCCATACAGCCACATACCCCATAATATCAAGGCGGATAATCCACAATATAATCTGCTTTGAACTGGATTGTCTCAGTCCACACTGCTAGATAATCCAATTCAATGTGGATTTTATATAGCTGTTTGAAAGAGCCCCGAGTCCACACTGCCATGTAATCCAGTTCAATGTGTATTTTATACAGCTTTAAGGACTCAGTTTGCAATGTCTCTGCATTGCTAAATTCAGTACTGAATCTGCCTGCTCAGGTTTCAATGGTAGCGCAAACTAAGGCCCTTTCCACGCTGCCCTTTATCCCAGGATGTGATCCCAGATTATCTTCTTATCCCAGATTATCTGGCAGTAGAGACTCATATAATCCAATTTAAAGCAGATAAATCTGTCATCAGATCCTGGGATATAGGGCAGTGTAGAAGTGGCCCCTTCTGGGGGCTCTTCCACACAGCCCTATATCCCAGAATATCAAGGCAGAAAATCCCACAATATCTGCTTAGAACTGGGTTAGCTGAGTCCACACTCAGATAATGTGGGATTTTCTGCCTTGATAGTCTGGGATGTAGGGCTGTGTGGAAGGGCCCTGTGTCTGTCTGCAGAGGAAAAAAAGCTCCATTTACACTACCATATAAAACTAGGAAGCCCTGGCCCTTGAGCGCTCCATCTGGAGGTCAGCTGTAACCAGCAGTGCTGTGGAATTCAAAGAGGCAAAGAGGCATAAATGAAAGGTGAAAGGGAGAAACGTGCCAAGAGGAGGGCGCATCAAGACAACCCTGAGTGGGACCACCTTCCTTCTGGAAACCAATGTCCTCACTGTGGAAGAACATGCAGGTCAAGAATAGGGATTTATAGTCACCTTGATATCGAGCTGCTTTTAGTAGGGTCTCCCGGCGGAGGAGATCCCTGAGGACCACTCAAAAGGGCCCTGGAACCTTGGTGAGGCCAGCGAGAGCCAATCCAAAGAGTAAAAATATTACAAATAATAATGCCTCATCAAAGTGGAAGAGGTTTTCAGCAACCGAGGTTTATTTGTGATTCAGCTGAGATCAGATGCATTGCAGGAATCTTTCCACCGCAAGCATAATTTTACAGAATTTCCAAGCATTTTTATAGTGTGCAGACAAAGGAAAACAGTTTCAAAATTCCCACCCGCCCTCTGCCGGCCGGCTCCATGCTGATTGGCTGGCCGCGGAACAGCTGGGAGGAGGCTGGGCGGCCCGCCCCTGCTCCGGACCAATCAGCGCGTTTCTTCGCCTCTAGAGGGCCAATGAGCGCCCTCCGCTCGCCTCGCAAGATGGACAAATCAGGAGAGAGGAGGCGGTGCGGCCTCGGACAAAGGAGGGGGGAAATGATGGGATTAGGAGTTGCCAGCAAGCCTTTGTCTCAGGCCGGCAAGGTGTGATCCTAGCAAACAAAAGCTTTCCTGTCCTTGATGAGCTTTGGAGGGGGATATGAATGGCTTTTTCGACATCGGACCTCAGGGGGGATCAACGACGTCTTGATGATTTAATCAATCTTTTCTTTCTGAGTTTCTGTTGACCCCCTCCCCTCGCTGGTCTGCTCCGAGGGCCAGGGTTGGGGATTAACAGTATTGTCCATGCTGGTGAATTAATCAAGGGTGATTGAGGGAGAGGCTGGAGCCCTCCCCCAGGCAGTTCCTGGTCACAGCAGTTTTTGTGGGGCAAGGGTCAAGGGGACGAGGGTACAGAGGAAATTCATAAGGTTACATACATATATCAAAATCATAGGCAATAGGCATCACTGATACAGAGTTAGTTCATAAGAGGAACCCCCCATCCCACCCCATAAAGTTTATTTCAATATTTGATCTTTATTAAGGTCCAAACTGGAAATCCCATGCTCTTAGGAAGGGCGCGTGGAAGCAGAGGTTGCTAGCAGTTCAAATCAAGCATTGATAGAAAGTTCATGGCCAGGGTTGTGGCAAACAGTCCAGTCCACTCAGCAGAGAGTCATGGATTCAGGCTGGAATCAGCAGATGGGTGCTGAGTTGATCAATAACAGAATCCATCGTTCAGCCCTTGGGGAACTACAACTCTCACAAAAGGGCAGAAGTCCCAAGATCCAGCCATTTCCCAAAAAGCCTCGTGGGGTCCTTGTTGTTGTCAGTGCCTTGGCAATGTGGCCAAGACTTAACCCTTGTTGTGTAGTCTGGTGACCTTGCCCTTTGCAGAACTATAAGTCCTTATCCCTTAATTCTGAGGGGGGGGGGTGCCTGACATCACGGGTACAAACTGAAATCTCATGCAACTATATTGGAGAAGTGTGTGTACATTCT